CAGTTGCATAATAAATCGTCACAGTGGAAGACGTCAACACATGGAGAGAATGCGCAAATAAATATGTAGACACAGCAGTTGGTGGTATTATATGGATGGTGGTTGGTTTTACGCTTGCACCATCTCGTCCTCTGTGCTAAAATGAGCTAAAAAGGTATGCACGTTTCAGAATATAAAGATCCAGTTAGGGCACGAATGACAATATAATGATCAACTTTTTTTATATTGTCATATTTTTTAGAAAATCCATATACGTAGGTACGCATATATTTGCACCAGGTTTTGACAGTTGTACATGAAAAATGCGCAAAATATTAAATGCCTGCTTGGATGGCTTGGCATGAATATGTATTTAAAGTATTCAATCACTCTCGTTTTTTCCCTTTTCACCAGCAGCCGGGTTTGTGTATGCGAAGGGAGAAAGTACAAAGAGGAAAGACGACTTGAAAGAGAACACGTAAAGAATTGTTACTGCACGAAAGAGCTGCTGCATGCTTTCCTTCTGGCGAAGAGTTTTAGTTGTGAACTGTAAATTTCATGTTTTCTCATGCTTTCACTTTCCTCTCCCAGCTCCTGTTTGCCAGTCGTTACTGAGCCCATTTGCTTATACAAGTTTTGTTTGGGATCATGGTGGTGCTGGTGGTGTTGAAGAAATTGGACCCCGCCCTCTCATGATGAGATCATTGTGTTTGCTCCTTGCAACTCAACGACTTGTAGAGATGAAATGGAGATTATCAAATATTTGTTTATCTTGGTTGGTTAGCAGAGTTTTAATCATATTCTTCCACTCTCCAGAACGGAAGGAAATCATGTAATGAAATGGATGAGGAGGAGATTCTTGTCCGTCGCTAATAAGTATGCGCTCAAGTTGCCGTCCGACGAGTGAAAGTAGACCTGGAATTATTTAAATAGTAATAAATCTCCGGTCCACTCGGCGCATTTTAACGAGGCTGGTTATGTCGGTAATTACGGATATTTATAACTCGTAATTTTTTAGGTCTGTGCAGCATAAATTAAGCGGTGCAAAAAATGATGTAAATAATCAACATTAAGAAGAAGCTCACGTAGATAATAGACACACAATTATTTTCACTTCTTGGACCAGATGTGCTTAGCAAAGTGGAGCTAATAATGCTTCTTCTGTTGTAGTTTTAATGCGGATCCACGACCACTTTCAAAGAAAGCATATGATTAACAATCAATGTGAGTCAAGCTGTTAGTGCAAAATAACTCTTTCGGGTTTTCTCTGTACAAGAAATCCCCGACCGGAAGGAAATGGGATATGTTCACGGGTTCATGCCTTTAACATTTTGTAGAGAAAGAAACAAGGGACAAAAACCGTTTAAAATGTAAGACTGGAGCCCAGATGTGTCATATCCATTTAAAATGCGCCAGGCATGCTGCCTTGTGCAAAATATTTTTGCATGGACGGTTTTGCAAACTATGTACACTACTACTACTCGTTCTGTTCTATCAAGGAACGTGTTTTAGTATGAAGTAACAAAGAAGAGATAATTTAATGGGCTTTCTAACAACAAAGTCTGGATATTTTTATCCAAAGAAATTACTCTGAACTTGCGGCATTCCTTATTATGCCGTCGTTCCAGCCTCTGATTACTATTGAGGGAAGGAGTTGCATTAGGTATGCTGCATAGCTCAGAGAATGATGCAATGCAAAAACAATCCGGATTTCCATCCCCTTTTGTCCTCAGTGACGTGAGACTCAAATCTCCTTACAGATTATTATTACTCACAAATAATAAATGAAACATCCCAACGCAGCGCAACGTAACGGCTTCCAGCAGCCATCCTGTATCGTCGGCCTTTATGATTACGACAAAACTTGGCTAATTTATTTCAAAGTTTACTTTAGCATAACGAATATTATGTTAATGGACCCAATTCATTGCGACTTGTTCTCTTCCTTCCTCATATTTGACGTTAATTTAGTTCTGCATTCCAAATAAGGTTAATCCCCGCGTATGTATGAGCCTGCATACTTGGGGATTAACCTATTTAGTACGTTATGGAATTATGGTTAGTGCGTGAGCGTGCGGGTTGGTGTGGGCGAAAGTCATATCTCTCCGCGTATGTTTGCGTGTTTCCAGTGATTCATTTTGTGATTCGAATCGGAGTGAATTTATACCTGATTTCATCCCCTCGTTTCTTTCGATAAGCTGAACTGAAGTAGATTAAAATCATATTTATGATGTTTCCATTCCATAAAAATCATATGTATAATATGATTCCCAAATTTGTTCAGATTTATGACTGAAATTAAGGCAAAATTGAATTAGATACTCGTGGAAGATATATATCGTCGTAGGTATAAATGATTCTGTGTATGTTTGGTAATTTTAGCTTTAGTTGGGTCGAATTTCAGTGCAAAATGTGGTTGAGAGGAAGGAGGCAAAATTGTCTGGATCATATTTGCGGATATTGATACATTGTAAAATGGGAGGCAATGATAAAAATTTACTGTACTTTTTTACGAGAGAAGTGGGAGCACTAAATACATATCCCCAAACTCGGAAAGAAATAAAAGAACTACAAAAGATAATTGCAACTTGTCCAGAAGTTGGGAGTGCTTGGTTTGGTCAACGTTCAAAAAGTTGCTTCTGTAGGTGGAGAGGAGGAGGAGGAGGAGGAAATTCGGTTTCGTTGTTCTATTAGTTTGGCCACTCTTTGGTTTCAGCTCGTTTCTTGAATCGGTGGGTGGTATACCGAAAGTAATTAAATAACCAACAAAGTTGCTGCCAAGATTGTGTCTCAAACCATATCTCCTGCTCCCAATTTATCTCCTGAGCCAAATAATTAACGGATGATTAGAACATGAGCGAGAGATGGAGGGAGAAGTTTATGCAATTCAACAAGCACAACTCTTCTGAAAGAATTAACGACACATGAAAATAAGTGAATAAAAAGTTCCAAAAACTACACAATTTTTTGGTCATACAATTTTTATCCTCTTTATCAAGCAAAAAACACCACAAAATATATGTCCGAATCTGAGATTAAATCAATTAATTAAGAATAAATCAATACCACGGTCGACGCGGTCCGTCTCCACAACGTTTCTACATATACGTTCCTACTTTCTAGAAATATCTATTATACGAGACTCCCTCTAGCCAATTACCAACGCCATTCGAATTCTTATTACGTGCGTACACGGCACATGTACATCAGCCATTTGGAATCTTTCTTGAGGTGTTGACAAATTTTTACTGTCTAACCATTTTATTATTCACGTCAGACATTGCCATCATGAAAAACTTTTCAGATTTATGTACGTGTTGGTTATATGTAATGCGTCACTTCCACATTTGTTTATTTTCCCCAACCAACTAATCCATTATTATAATGTACACCCTTTCAACCGACCTCCGTGCCCTGTTCCGGTCTCGCTTCTAGTATTTATAATAACACTGCTGCTGAGAGACAATTTTTCATACAAAAAACGTAGAATCCCCGGAAATTGTTGTTTTGCATACCTATGTAACCAGCAGCGTTTGTTTGAACAAAGTCAGCAACGATGTTGCACACAATTGTTTATCTACAAGCACAATGAACCATTATTGGAACCAAGTTGCAAAGTAATTGTTCATCATCAGGCAAATGTTGTATGTTCGACACAAAAATTAGCTTTTGAACTGGCTCTTGACTCGAGCATTGAATTGTCATTTCATTACTGCATATTGTTGCTTTGCCTCGCTTTTTGAAATAGGGTGGCAATATGCAAAAGGCACACAAGAGGAACCTAGCATCATGTATACCATCACGTCATTGTGAAATGTTTTATCTACGTATACGAGCATAGCACAGGGTGCTTAAATGTGTTCCATTGAAGAATTATAAACCAGAAGAGGAGAGAGGAGCTAAACGCATAAGTTAACCTGTCACGAGGGTGACATAAACACAATGGTGGAGATTATGCAACAGCATACTCCAAAATTGGTCTGATATAGCCTCACTATTTTCATCGAATTTAAATCCACTCTCCGCACGGAGGTCTCTCTGCTGATCCGATGATGCTACTGTGCTTGCCCAGTAATAGACTTTGATACAAAGTCATTTAGCATGACACTAAAATCGTTTCAGACCAGGCGAGAACAGCCTATGGAAATTGTTTCGGTCGTATTTATGTAGAATTGCTTGCAACAAGGAGGGCAGAGTTGATCTGGAATTTCTTAATGTGAGCATGATCAACACAAAAATTGCTGCACAGAATTATGCACTAGCTACTGCAGAACCCCTCCCTTCTAAAATATTCAAATGGCTCTCTCTCTCTCGGCAAAGTGCACTCTGTGTCTGTATCACAGATCAGGAGTAGCATCTCATCTCACAGTCTCGTACCCGTTGTTGAAGGGAATAGCGAAAGAATGCAAAATTGCACACACGGTACGTTCGTCGTACAGGCGACCGGCACACATTCTGTGCTTGAGATTGAGATGAGATGATACATACGTGGCTGGCTGGCTGACTGCATGCACTGCATTATTTGGGTGCAGGATTAGGTCATGTTTTGCGTCCAAGTTGATGTATCCTTTTATAGGCAAGTGAGTAAAAGTGAGTGTGTGTTATTGAAATGTAATACGACCACTTGGTTTTGAAAATGATTGTGTGTTCGTATGTACATACTTATGTAAAATGCTATAAAGTGTATTTATTTGTACGTACGTATGTCTTGGTTGGGATGTGTTTAATGTAATACACAGCAATACACATTCAGTTTTATAAAGGTGAGAAAGAACGAGTCTAGCCTGCCTGCATAATGCTCAGGAGAGTGGTTAGTTAGTTACTTATGTACATTGTAGCATGATGGGAATGGTGGGGCATCTGCAGCCGGTTCAAACACATTTAGTGGTGGAATGATGATAAAAAATGGTACGAGCGCCTCCGTGGTGCTGGAGACTGGAGAAATGAAGCATTGTACGTATTCGAGAGTCATTATTCTGTTAACTAACTAACTCTGTATGTGCTTACCTGTGATATTACAGGTGAGAGAGTCGTCGTGGTGTAGGAGAGGAGCGGGGGAGCAGCAGCAGCAGCAGAGATGAATGTTGACGAGGTGGCTCGGGAGGAGGAGGGTGGCCCAGGCAGCATGCAGAATGTCTTGGGCACCGACCAGTGTGCACCTGACGACGAAGAAATGGTGGACGCTGAGCGAGATTTGGCTGAAGATGCACAGTGGAAGAAGATTCAACAAAACACCTTCACCCGGTGGGCGAACGAACATCTTAAAACTGTGTTCAAAAATGTGGGCAATTTGGAAACCGACCTTTCCGATGGACTCCGGTTGATCGGTCTCATCGAAGTGCTCTCCGGCAAACAACTCCCCAAACACAACAAGAGACCCAACTTCCGTTCACAAAAGTTGGAAAATGTGTCGGTGGCTCTGGAGTTTCTGGAGAAAGGTATAAATCTAGATTTCATTGTTTTCAAATTTTTAGTCCATGAATTTTTATACTAAAAGTCTAATTTATTTTATATTGGCTGGTAAACTCAGTAATTTACAAGTGATATATGTGTATATAAAATATAATAAGTAGAAATGTTGTATTAATTAGAATTTGGTATTATGATATAATGTTGGAATTTTTACAAATTAATTTTTCAGCACTAGGGATTTTAATTTGGTTGCCTTTGCTCTTCTTATGTCTCTATGTTTGGTTTCGATGTGGGTCCTTTCTTCCGTAAAAGTTTTGAATTCTTTTGTACAATACTTGCATGAATATGGAAGCTCATTTGGATGTATTGATGCCCAATGTTTCCTTATGCCGCTTGAATGTTTGAAATATTTAGTACAAAATGGGCAGGCAAAATGTTTTCTATCATTATGCACCCTTGAATGTATGCGAAGGGCAGGATTTGTTTTAAATCTTTTCTCGCATATTTCACAGACATAAGGCCTCCTTTCTTCATCCTCTTCCTCCATGTTTATAGCAGAGCTGCCAGGTAAATTAGAACTCATCATTGGGGAATTGTACGAACTGTTGGCAGTGGACATGTTGTTGGAATTTTGGTTATCTGTTTCATTAGAGACGAGGTATTTGGTCTTGGATTGTGGTGGTGGTGGTAATTCTTTTATTAGTAAAACGTCCGGCGGGGGTGGAGGTGGATTGAGAAAATATTCTTGTCTCACTGTTGGCATTAGATGAAGAAGGGATGAAATCTGATCTTTGATGACTTTGAGATGACATTTAAGGATTTTTATGGATGCATAAGGGTCCATTGCAAAGTGACCACCAATTAAAATCCTGCATGAATGTTTGAGACGATTCGCAATCCATGGATTGTCTGTGTAAAAATGTAGGGAATAAGAATAAACTGGACAGCAAATCCATCCATATAGATCTTCCAACTCCCTAAAAATCATATTGTTATGAATAAGAGGTTATTGTTTTGTAAAAAATCACATCATACTGTACGAACTTACTTGGTCTTACATCCGTCAAGTGATTCTGAATCATTTGAAAACGAACTTTTAATTTCTTCAGCCTTATTAACTATGTTTCTGGAACTCGTTAAATTTATTGACATTTCCCTTGATGAACCTCCTTTATCCAAGTACAGGGTGAAATAGATTTGGATGAGATTCAAGTCTGACAACAATAGCATAACAATACTAATTACAATTACCATAAAATCACTATGAGCACCTGTCTTTATTTTAATTATATCTTACTGTAGATATCTGCTTGGCTTAATTTCCTCTTCTTAATTGGTTGACCCACATCCTCCCGATAAAAGAACCAATCCATGTCTGCAACAGGATCCTCTTGGTATTTGGAAAGCGACATTTCTTAAACGACTATTTTAACTTAAGTAAACTAACAATTAGATAAGGGAAGAGACGTGGCTTTCCTTCAAACTAAAATTTAACAATGATTAGAAAGAAAGATGAACGGAAAGAAAAAAGAAAAGTTGAGAAGAAAATTTTGTAGGTCATTGACACTTCCTTAATAGTGAACACGAATCAACCATTGAGGAAAATAAATTTTTTTTTATTTCTCGGTACCATTTTCACTTCCAAAGCTGAAGGGATCCGGATCGTAAACATTGGTAAGTATCCACCTGCCTCTCTCTACACACACCTGGCTTTGTGTGGACGCATCAACAACCATAGTCCCATCGTCTCTTCTCCCACTGAGAATGAGAAACTTTGACAGCTATGAACTGTCATTTTTTCATCCTTAACACGCTCCAACCCACGCTCCGACATGGCTTATTATTGGAGATAGGTAAAGCCGACTCAATCAGGCAGAAGTGACGAAGGGAGCCTGCTACTAGTGCTTAAGGTGAATAGTGGAGAAAAGCAGTGAAAACCAAGTGCTGCGAAGGATGAGGAGAAAGCATCCGAGGTGTTTTGGTTGGTTGGAAGTGATGTGAAATGTAATTTACTCTTTGACGGAATTACTGGAGACTTCTAATTCCGCACGAAGAAGTATCGTGCCGTTTCAAGCTTTGTACATACGTTCGTTCGCTTGACTTCATATATACGAAATATGAAATAACACCATTGTTTCCTGTCCACGATATCATAATTCCTCTGGACTCATTTCTCACACGTCTCTCCGTGCTCAGAGGAGAGAGAAGGTTTATCTTGTCAAAGTCAGTATGTTGATAAAAAATGAGAAATAAGTTTCCGAAAATGATTCATTCGAAAAAGTGCTATTTCTTGATTGATCATTAATTGTGAGGAAAATTGCAGTGTGGTTTTCTTAGTTGGTTGTTAAATTGCAGTGTTTAAAAATTAAAATAGAGTTGCAAATAAGATTTTCTACACATTTAGCACATAAACACATTCTGCCAAAATTTACATGAGCATAAAATATGCACTGGGAATAGTGAATTAGCTATGTGCATTTATTTCAAGCCCACCAGTCCATCATAATGATGATTTCGGGAGGATGAATTACTATTATTAGGCGAATGTAATGATTCATAGCTATTAGTCTGAGCCGTGAACAATTGTGGCGTTTATTTAGTTTAGTAAATTACGGTTCAGTTTCATTGAAGGATTTTATTTTACTTACATGCACACACATAGAGCTGCTGAATTTAGGAGGGGAGCTTGCGAGGTTGATAATAACAGATCCTGATGCCCTTTGGATATGTAAAAAGGTCGTCTTTATTGATTCCCAATTTTAGCCATTACATTTGAATTACAAGTGAACCAAACCTCACATAAGTGAGAAATAGATGTGGTAGGGTCCTATGAGTGTACTAAAACCCTGAAGTGGTTTGACTCCATGGCCACATTTGCGCCCGCCACACCCACTCAAAAATGCCCAAAAAACGCTTTCACTCCAGTTTTCACTCACTCAAATCCACGCCAAAAATCCAATTTTACTCGGATTTTGAAATTTCTTTCACCATTACGCTCCCAGATAGTTGCTTTCTTCAATCCAATGTCAAACTCAATTTTGATGATGATTATTTCGCAGGCATAATTTGCGTTGTGGATTACTACAACAATGCTCATTCAGAATTTTAAATTTTAAAAATACTAATAATTTCGAAAATATTGAGTTTGATATCGAATTGAAGAAAGCAACTATCTGGGAGCGTAATGGTGAAAGAAATTTCAAAATCCGAGCAAAATTGGATTTTTGGCGTGGATTTGAGTGAGTGAAAACCGGAGTGAAAGCGGTTTTTGAGCATTTTTGAGTGGGTGTGGCGGGCGCAAATGTGGCCATGGAGTCAAACCACTTCAGGGTTTTAGTACACTCATAGGACCCTACCACATATCCAAAGGGCATCAGGATCTGTTATTATCAACCTCGCAAGCTCCCCTCCTTAGTGCATGTTTTCTTTTACTGTACTCAACCTGTCAACAAAAAAGCAAAATGGTTTGCAAAACCAATTCTGATATCTGTCAAACCATTTTCAGAGAAAATGCACAACCCAACAAAAAAATAATTTGATAATTTCTTTCTGCCGAGACTGAAACAAGTACCAAATTAGCACCAGCATGCAATCCATCACTCGATCATTTTAACCACAAATGCACATATCCATCCATGACAAATATCTTGCATACTACTTTAGCTATCTAAAAGTGATGATATGGATGGAGTCGTGTGGTCATTACTACGTGTTATGTATGTATCACCTGTAAAAAACAGCCTCATTTTCAATTTGCAGCACAAACATACTCCCATTACCATCGGTCGACATTTTTGTAATGTTGGGTATGCTCATTACATATTGTAGGTAAACCGGCCTTCTGCTGAGCTACATGCTGTTTTGCTAACTAATAAGCTCATGTTCTTATTGAAAAGCCGTACATTCATTATTCGCCGTGGTTTAAGTATGATGTCATCCGAAGGAATGCAAGCATGGGCAGGGTAGCAAAAACAATACTGCATTTCAAACCGTTTTTCTACCCTATACAACTTGGTAAATGTTGTTGTATCATCTCGTAAATATTTCAGTCTGCTCATTTTACACTTTTAGTCAGTCTGGTTGGCAGGGTCGCTTGTCACTCAATCACTCACTCGCTTACACGACGGGCACCATCCATACTACACATTATATTATGATCCATAATTATAAAAAAGTTTTGGTCTCCCCGAGGGGAAAAAACTCTGGGTATGAAAAATATAACCTGTTTTTGTAAAATACGAGCAGTAGTAGTAGTAAGATAATGATGATGCGATTCGAGTAATGCATAATAATATTCCTCTGCCAATGTCACTCGCATTGTTCGCTGTCAAGTCGCTAAAAAACTTGGTCCATATGTCATCATATCTTTCCCGAGTTAAGATTGGATTAGAATGAGTGGTGTGAATGGGGAAGTTATGCATGTATGTAGAAGTAGGTGCATAAAACTGCAGCATTCTTTTGTTAATGAACTTTGTGGTACATTTGCATATGTATGAATTGCACATATATGTACGCCATATCGTTAGTCATGGTTGGATGGTGCTATGAATTTTAATCCAGAAATATTTCATTGGCTTATATTACTTGGCTTTGGTGACAAAGAGAAAATATAATTGTTTTACTTCCTCTGCGACGACGATGACGGCGACGACCGCTGAATGAGACTTGATTAGTTGATTGTCTTGTCATTCGGTTTGTTACGCATTTTAAGTATCACTTAGTTAGCAAAGATTCACACTGACTAAAACCTCAAAAAAGAGATTGTGTCTGTTCTGTCTGTCGGCATTCTGCGAGGAGATGAGTTCTCTCTCAAACAGATAATAATGTGAAGTCAGAACCTTTAAAGTTCCAGAGGTTGCGATTAGTGTACGTTTTACTCGGAAATAAATGGGTTGAATCAACAGTGGGCCACGCCAACACAAACAAGTAAAAAGAAACACTTTTATTCTTTTTACGCAAAGTACATACGTGAATAATGAATGAATTATGCGACACGATTTGCACTAAAACACTGTTGGCCCTTGCTTAAAACGAGAACTTGATGGATGAGGTAATGTCAAACTGCATGTACATCCGAACCTACGAAGAAGATGACTTCACCCCTCGTTGCGTGTTTTCAATTTGTCATTCACTATTTAGTTTAACTGGCAAGTATTAAAACTTGCCGTATCAGAAAGCCAACATCCTCTCAAGTTAATAGTATTTGTTGACCTAAGAAAGAGCAGAGTCAGGCGAAAGGAAAAAAAACCTTCATCATAGGAATTAATTTGAACTAGGAAAAATCATTGCTGATGTCAGTCTGCAGTTATGCACTTTTTTTCATGGTAGTCTTAATTTAATTGTATTTGGAGAGATTGAGTAATTAAATAATACGCTTATCAATCTTATCTGATGGGGAGAAGACCTCAATATGAGAGACGACCTCTCTCAAGAATAAGAAGATGAGGGCAAGCAAAACGATGAAATGAGAACATAATGAATTGCATGAAAATGAATAATATTTTTTTTGAAGAAAACTCGTCTAGTTTTTGTTCGTTCCCAATGAAATGACGTTCTTCTTCTGTGATGAGCTACCTCACTCGAATTCTAAATCAGCAAAAGTTGATGCAACCAGTTAAGGAAAATTCCGCGACTGTAACAATGTAACAACCCTAATCAAATGCAATCCCACAGCGAAATTCTAACCGAACGAAATTCTAAACACACACACACAAAACTGAATTTCCTCCTTTTCATGTTGCATTGTTAGTTCATTATTTTCCATCAAACCAAAGTTCACAGTATTTTGTTTGAAGTAGTTGGAAAAATTGTTTCGCCTCTGTGATTTTATCGCAATTTCAGTCAACTTGGAATGGACGTTGTCAAAAAAATGATAATGGTGTGGTTGATTTAGCAGAGGACTTCAATCCCATGCACTTACTTACTTTGTGGATTTGATATGCTACACAAGCACTCCTGCAGAGTTTTATCCATGAACGGTGTTTGTGAGACGAACAAGTAATACAAAATTTAGCAGCTTGAAACTTCTCTAATCAGCATTGAATCGGTGGTCCGTTTTCAAGGTAGATGTGGATATTCTCATGTACGTATCAACAGTTGCGATAAATCATGATGTCTATCGGGCAATCTGTGAGATTAGAAACAGGAAATACGTGGGATTTTATGCAAATTTTGTGTCGTGAACTCAATTTGATGAAATGCTATTTCTTTCAACGAAAATTGAATTTGTTTATTTAGCTCGATCTTTACCGGTGATATTAATATTAATGGGATTCAAGAGTCGATATTTCGAGCCATTTCAAATTCATTGCATTCTTTGTGTCCCATTAAACTTAGGCATGCATAATAATTAGTTCCATTATAAAGTAAATGATAAAAGGAATTATTCCTTTTAAAAGTTTGGTACAGGATACGACTCGGTCGGAATTTGTAAATATTGACCCAAAAAATGGGGCGAGTAGTAAATCAAGATAAGTATGAAACCAGAGAAAAAAAATCTTTATCTGCATACCGCATACATTTCACGAACTTTCATGGAATGTGTGGGTCTCAATTTGCATTATTGCGAGTACTCGTATTACAAGTATACACAGTGGGTTTGGTGAATAGTTGATGATGATGATTGCTCATAAAATATTATTACAAGTGGTCAGTAAAACAACCGGAACTAGCAAAACCACAGCGCGGTGTGGGAGTAGGGAGACGAGTGGTAAACGCAATAAAGGTGCAGCCAGCATATGTACATACCTGAAAGGGAAATTGAAGTCTCAATACATCCTGCTCGCTATTCCTGCCGCTGGTAAAGTTGTGTCGCTGTTTCAGATTAACCACAAGTCCAAGGGTATTTTGTCCAATCTGCTATGTGATATTGTCGATATTGGTTTTGTTCCCGTGGTCACGTCACACTTGAGGGAGAAAGGAAAAGGAAATGTTCTCAGTCAGCGGCGAAATCTATCTATCATTCATCATAATAGGCTCAGAACAGGTCCAGTCGCAGTGTTCCTAACTTGTTCATGTCACGCCCCACTAACCTCCCTTGAAATCCGTTTACTCGTAGAGGCAACTATTATCGGTGGCACTAAATATGGCCCTTTTTTCTGTCCTCAGTCAGGCAAGACTTTTGTTGAGACACTTTGAGTACTGCTACCACCGTGCACGAGGCAAACTCTTTATCGGGAGGTTGAGCACCTAACCGATACTGATCTCAACAAGTCAGGACTATTTTAGACTTGGACGTACGAACGTACGTCAATAAGTGAAGCAAAAGGTTTTTACAGGATTAAAGAAGCCATGCAAAAGTACCCAAGCCTACCGGGTTTAAACACAACAAAGAAAAATGTAAAGAAACAAGTTTGCCAGACCACAATTCATTTCTCTGTCTGGAAAAGTTGCATTTTGCCTAAAACTTTATCTCTGCCACTTGTTTGGTAATCGTGTGTGAAAAATCTGTCTCTGGATCGAATTTGGTTTGGCCCCTCTCGGCGAGGCCAACATCTTTCCACTTTAAAAAAATGTATGCTATTTGTGTTTAGAAAGTGGATAATTCAACAGTACGAGAGATTTTGTTGTGCTGTTTGGACTGCAGTGTGCATGTGGAGAGGGACGAGAGTGAGCAGTGGCAAAAACGATAAATACGCCACAATCAACAATAAGGAATTCATAGAGAGAGATGCGCTGGTGCAGTCCACTGCAATGCAATAATGCCACCACGGTCCGTGGTGTACGATATTTATAATCTGCGGAGCAAATCCCACTGTCATAAAGAGTTGTTTATGCATCATGCCTGGTTTGCATCAGGAGGAGCATCACCACTCGACTATTTCACTCACATTTAAAGAGATATGATGATGATGAAACATTATGGGCTGTAAAAACAGAAGGGATTTGCACATTAAATATATTTTGTAAAGTGGATCGTGGTCCTGTCATCTTTTCGGGGTTGTAAAAGTCTCACATCCAGTCAATATAAACTTATCGACGAAAGAAGCATTTCCAAGCACACGCATAAATCCATCCTACTTGTCATACAACATAGTCGTTTTTTAATTTGCTGGTGCTCTCTGATGATGAATTTTTAAATGGGCCGTGTGGAATTCCAATATTATTACTGAAATCATTATGTATTACCATCTTCATGATAAGATTGGATATATTCTTCGACCGGACATACATATCCCGGTCGAATGTAATTCACCCTTCTAAAAGTCTTGGTCGATTTTTTGTACATCAAATAAAGTGCAGGTGATTGAAAATCGTATTGTTTTATGATTAGCCATCAAACAAGATTGCATTCACATAGCCGAGAGTAGATATTTGACGTAGCACGACAGTTTTAGAATTTGATTAGGGTTGGAGACGTTTCATAAAAACGCAGATCATCGCTGCAACCTTTTTTATGCGAGTGGATCAACAACAACATGCACTGGTCACTCGAGGAGATATTTGTTGGCTAAAATAAGACGAAACGACTTTGCTGCTGCTGCCTGAATAGAAGACAAGAATCCTTTCAGACATTTTATGTCCTGCTGAAGTAGAACAAAAGTTGGATAAGATTATTGGAGAGGATACACACATACTGAAATGGATGATGGGATTGCTGGTTGAGTCGTCATCGTCGTCGTCTTCGTGGGCTTTGTGCTGTCTTCTTTAAAAACATTGAGTCATTTTATGTCCATTAAAAATTAACCGTCCCATCTTCCACATCAGTCAAATGAAACAGCAGGGAGTAAAAACCAAATACAAATGAACAATGCATAACAATAATCGAAAGTTGTGATCGTGGTTGTGAAGCCATTTTCAAAGGAAAGGATGTACTGCATTGCTCATTACTTAATAAAAACAATATTTCTTTACCTCATGGACAAATGAATTCCATCGTATGAAAAACTTCATGTATGCACATTTCATGTTTACTTGGTTTATATGCGAGGATCTTATGCAATAATACGACTACAACTATTTTTAACTTTATGTATGCGCATATGCAATAACCTTGTTTTCCTCAATTGACATTTGTTCTTTGAGAAAAAAGTCGTATTTATGATCAGTATCAGAATTAAGGCCGATGGACAAATATTGGCAACAATGTTGGGCCTGTTTGTATCTCAGATTGAAGATCCCATTGTAATTTTTTGTTTTCTTTTGCCTCACAGATTCATCGGATATTGTCGATTGTAAACTAAAGCTGATTTTGGGTCTGATATGGACACTTATTTTGCACTACTCGATCTCCATGCCCGTCTGGGAAGGGGAGGAGGACTACCCACAACAGCAAGGGGACAAAGGACCCACGCCAAAACAAAGGTAATTCTTGTCACAGCCGATCCACTTGCTTCGTAAGATTTACTTTACGCATTTCCGTCCATTTAACTGGGAGCTGGAAAAGTTTATTTCATCGAAATAAACTAAACTTGTCCGAGTAATATACGTTTATCGCTGGCAACGTGTCTCCACCCACCCACACCATGATGTAGATACACATACTTGGGAAAAGACAAATGGGGTGAGAAATGGTCGAACGAGAAGAGTACACTTTTCACCACTTAGGTCTTGATAAAATAAATTGGGGAGGAAGTATGACACGTGAAGTGGACAATTGTTTACTAGATTGCCGTGGAAAGTTTCCAGTTGTGCTATCATTCGCACCGATTTGTATCCTTCAGGAGGAAGCAGGGATTTTCATTAGATAATAAATATACTCGCTTTCATGTGCATTTGTAAATAACACCCAGAAAATATTTGTTTTCTTTACTGCTCACATAATTGGAATTACACAGCCATCGGAAAAAGTAAGCATGTGTATTTCCCCATATTTGCAAATATGAAGCTGTGCAACTTTCTCTACCTTCATAATAGAAATGACTGCGGTTGGCTCAGGTTACCGACGAGGTTCACCTGATCTAATTTTGACCAATATTTGCAGACTTCTTCACTGGGTTCAAAGCAAAATTCCCGACCTTCCAATCAACAATTTCACCTCGGATTGGAACGATGGACGAGCAGTGGGAGCTTTAGTGGATGCCGTTGCCCCAGGTAAATTCAGCCGTCAATTTATTTATTCACCCCATTTCATCCAGTAAAAACAAGACGGATGACAAGAGGGCAGAATATATGGCTAATATTTTACTACCCTTGTGGGATTTTAGTATTCCTTTTATGTTATCAAACCCCGGAGGTGCGTGTCAGTCAAGTCGAGATGAAATCCTGGCTAGCTCCTCAGAAAAGATATGCTCGTCTGTAGTATCCAAAAATCCAAATCCTGGATTCTTGACTGTTTTATTGTGCACATTGTTATTCGTTCGCTTGATATCCTTGAGCTAAATTTGGGTCAAAATGAATCTCATTCTAATTTGGAATGTCATCCTTTTCCATGAGCACACATCTCGTCTGGACGGAATTAAATTGTAGTTGTGGAGATATGTCATCATAAATTCTGAGGTATTTGATTTATACTCAGGTTTATGTCCGGATTGGCCCGATTGGAATCCTAAGGATGCTTTGCAAAATGCATCGGAAGCGATGGGTTTGGCGGACGACTGGCTCAATGTTCGTCAGGTGTGTGACCTCTTTAATTAGTCACGTCGGTTGTGGGAATGGAGTCGTTTTTCTATGACCAGACTGATTTCGTTTTAGTGTGTAAAGAGATTGATATGAGCGTATAATGTTGTTTCCTGCAGCTCATTAGACCAGAGGAGTTGATAAATCCAAATATTGATGAACAGTCCATGATGACTTACTTGGTAAGTGCTCTAAACGTGTCGCAAGGTTTTGGAATTACACAAAGCCCTGAGTTTATAATCTGTTTTGGATAGTCTCAATACCCAAGTGCCAAATTGACGATTGGTGCCCCAATCAGACAACGTACCAACCCCAACAGGTAATACTAATCTCCGTTCATTGCCTTCATTTCCAAAATAGAAATGACTGGAAATTTACAAACTAAATTAATTTGAGAAAACTTTCACTTTCTCTGCAAAACTTGCGTATGCACGATATCCATGAAATCATCATCACCTTGTGAAAATAAGTATTAAGAAACTATTTAAACTTTCTCCTTCTCTTTCATGCTTCTCTAAATCGGCATCAGTGATGCACCACCAAGGTAAAACTTTGGAGTGAATTGTACGTAGTTCGTCGTTTGGTTTGATGCAGTAGAAAGTAGTCGGTTCGGTAGACGTAAAAAGTGCTGAGTTTGCTGTATTTCTACTCAATCTTTCAATTTGTGTCCAAAATAGAAGTTGTCAAATATGATAAATTTCAGTAATCAATATATGCAAATACTTAGATAGGTCTGATCTCGTCGTCTGCATTTCCCATATTTTCGGATTTGTAAATTTTTCCGAGTTACAAGACTGTCTATAAAAATGATCGGGTCCTTATTTTGGGACACAATTAGAAATGGCTATACAACAAAAGCCTGTCGTATTTGTACAAATTATTCTTGTTTTAAGAATTAAAACGATTAAACCCTAATAAAGCATAGAGATTGGTAGATCAATAAATATTTAAAATTAGCAACATGTTGAGTTTTGAAATTAACGATTTTTGATAACATAAGAGTGCATGATTTCTCATGTCATATTTTATATGAAAATTACAAATGAAAATAGGCAGTAGAAACTTTGATAATTCTTGTGATATTTATACCTACTTCGGAATGATTAATACTTTTATTACCTAAAGCGAATTAGTACTGGAATTGCCGTGGCTGCGTTACACACATGCTGATTTACCTGATTTACTGTCTTTCTGAGTTCTGAGCAGTTGAGAGTGCGACATTTCAACTGAGCAGTCACATTTCACCAACTTTTCGTTTGGAGAAATTGTTCTGATTAATTTATTGTTCTCCTCTCAGAGTAAGAGCTTACGGGCCTGGGATAGAGCCGACGGGTCAATTGGTTGGAGGAGCAGCCAATTTCACCGTGGAGACTTTCTCTGCAGGAAAAGGTGACGTGACTGTGATTGTGGACGGCCCAAGGGGAGAAAAATTACCGGTAAGTGATTTAAAAAACTGATTTAAAAAACTCGTGTGAGGACTATCGCTTACGTATTTTTCTTTCTGATTGCATGGCAAAGGTGGACATCAAATTTAACAACGACAGGAATCTCACATACAGCATATCATACACCCCGAAATCCGAGGGACCACACACTGTCTCCATATCTTTTGCTGGTAAACCAATTCCGAAATCGCCGTTTAGTGTTCTAGTGGAAGGGCATGCTGGAGATGCTTCCAAAGTGACTGCAAGCGGTCCGGGACTGGAGCCTGAAGGAGTGGTGGTTGGGAGGCCGACGTACTTTGACGTATTTACAAAAGGTGACACAAACTTAGTTATTCTTTCGCTCCGTGGGTACAACAGGTAAAAAAAGAATTGAGTTATTCCTTTCTCTCAAAATGTTTTGACAGACGCTGGGAAAGGTGTTCCTGAAGTTGTAATTCTCGATCCAAGTGGTGCAAAGAACACGGTGCCTGTGAAGCTGCGTCAACTTAGTCAGGACGTATGGCGTTGTGAATACGCAAGTTCAGTAGTCGGCGTGCATTCCGTTAACGTCTTTTTTGCCGGCCAGTCAATTCCTAAAAACCCATTCGGCGTATCTGTCGCTCCTGTTTGTGATGTAAGTAACCTTTTTGCGTAAATTTAATAAGGATGTCAAAAAAAAACATTTAATTAGCAAAATTTTCTCACTTTGTAACACTGACAAATAAGTGTTCAAACCTTAAAATTATGTCATTAACACTTTTGCTGGCCAAATTTGAAAAACTCAGGTTCGTCTCATCCTAATTGCCTAAAGTGTGATATGTTATTTCCTTAATTAGGCCAAAAAAGTGAGAGCTTCAGGCAGAGGACTGCAACCAAAAGGTGTTCGAGTGAAGGATGACGCAGATTTTAAAATTTACACGGAGGGTGCTGGAGAAGGGACTGTAGACGTGAGAATCATCGGACCAGGTAAAAACTCACACTAGTCAAACTGCTTACGCACACGAGCAAAAAGTACATAGGTGAGCGAACCTGGAAAGTGTTATTTTGTCCCCCACCACAGGAGGACTAAATGAACCTATAACGATACGGAAAACGTCTGGGTCCGTCTACGAAGCCGTGTACCATCCGAAAAAGGAGGGTCGCTACGTGATAATGATAACTTATGGTGGCCAGGAAGTTACAAGATCACCGTTCGAGGTGAATGTTGGCCCTTATAAAGAATCAGCGATTAAAGCCTATGGACCTGGTCTGTCTGGCGGAGTGGTCGGATACCCTGCGTTGTTCACGGTAGAAACTAATGGAGAAACAGGTGCCTTAGGTAAGCAGCAGAAGAGAAAGCTGAGAGAAAACGTGAGAGAGAAAGCGAGTGAGTTTCAGAATGTGGATGACGAACTACCATTTTTTTCCTTTGTGATTTTAGGTTTTAGTATAGAAGGGCCCTCTCAAGCCAAAATCGATTGTCACGATAACGGTAATATATAGATTTATGTTGGCTGGATGGCAGCATAAGAATTTCTTATAAAAAATGTGATCTTTCGATTTAGGTGATGGGTCAGCGGATGTGCGCTATCTGCCCACGGTATGCATTTCTCTATATTTCCTCTTCTTCTTAATATTCCCGTGGCTTGTTGGCTATAGACGGCATCCCGTTTCCTCCGATTGGGGGCCGTCTAATGCAATTCATGATGTAACAATTCGAATCTGGGCCAACTCTAATTGAAGAACAATAATGTATTACAGGTTCCTGGGGAGTATGCAGTGCATATTTTGTGTGACGTAAGTTTTTCAAGCAAAATTATTTTGAATTGATTTTTGGCACTTTGAAAGTTCATATCCTGAGTCGTTTTAAAATACTCTGAAGTTAAACCATCTCTTTATTTTTTATTTTTCACGTTTTTTACGAGTACTTTAAAATATAGTCCGTAGTTACATGAGGCTTTGCAATCAGAAACTGTACTGTTGTTCTGTCGGATTTATCAAGAATTCAATTTGTTCGGAAACTATAAACAAAAGCCAAATTGAACCTGAGAAGTCTGTACACACACAAATTGATTCTAAAGAGTCTATAATCTTGAATGGCTCTCTTATTCTCTCTTTCCAGGATGAAGACATTCCCAAATCCCCTTATATTGCTCACATTATGCCCAAGGGAAACGATTTCCAACCAGAATTAGTAAGTGAAGAGGCTACTTCTTTTTTTGCCACTTTTTTTTCCCATGCTTTCTCCTTCTCCTTCTTCTGTTGAACCATATTTATTTCTCAGCATTCAGATATCGCTTATCTAAAACCAATTAAGTGGAGTTGTGTTAGTAAATTCCAATTGTGTTAGCGAGCGAGCGAGGGAGGGAGGGAGCGAAGGCAGGGGATTATTTGTTGGTGTAGCCGAATTCGTATTATTATTCGTACTTTGCAGGTAAAGTGCCATGGTCCTGGCCTCGAGCCAACTGGATGTTCAACCAACAAGCCTGCAGAGTTCACCGTGGACACTCGGTTAGGAGGTTCTGCCCCACTTGAAGTCACTGTGAGTCATTCTATAAATCACAGTTTGTGTCAAATGCTCCAATACAAGTTTTGTTCTATATATCGTTATTTGGATTCGGTTGCAGGTCATGGACGCCAAGTATAATCCCGTGGAGGTAAAAGTTAGAGAAACCAGCGAAGGAGTTTACTCTTGTAGTTATGTGCCAAAGCGAGGTGCCAAGCATACTGTGCAAGTAATGGAAAAATTACAAACAACAAATCAGATATTACGTAAAAATGGAGCCTTGAACTCAACCCAACTGTCGAAATTCTAGGTGAATTATGGAGGTGTTCCAGTGCAAGATAGTCCCTACAGGGTTTTCGTTTCTCAACCAACCAACCCATCCAAAGTCCAGGTATTTGGTCCAGGAGTGGAAAAAGGAGTCAGCTCCACGAAATCTACACATTTCAACGTCGATGCAAGAGAAGCAGGTCCTGGCGATTTACAAGTGACGATTGCCGACGAACTGGGTCACCAAGTACCTTACGAGCTAAGCGACAATGGCGACGGCTCATACTCAGTAGGTTCAGTTGGGAATTTATTACTGGGAATTTATTATAACACTTGAGAAATGATGAAAAATGTAATTGTTCTTTCATGTATTTTCTGCAGGTAGATTATGCCCCACCAACCCCTGGAAATTATAAAGTAGGTCTATTTTATACATATGTGGACATCATCATGCAGAGATTACGGCATACACGTGGCCGCATAATTTACCGATTATTTAACTTTACAAACTCTTTCTGACACTTAATCTAGGTAAGTGTCAAGTATGCTGGCCAAGAAGTACCTTCAAGTCCCTTCCGTGTTCCGGTTCAACCTCACGTTGACGTTTCCAAAGTAAAAGTGGATGGGTTGGAACCAAGTAAGCTTTTTCTCACTATTTTTCATCTGTAATTGAAACGCTATTGCGTTAATGGCAAAAGTTATTGAGATCTTACGCAGAACGACCGAGTTTATAAAGCTCTGATATTTACTTATATATGTCGTACTGTCATTAGGGATTCAAAGGTATAAAAATAGACATTTTAGCCGAGGAATGTGTGGCGGCGGGTGCAGATATGTATGATGAAACTGATATGCATGCACATATTAGAATTATTGCGGGCCAAGGTTATGGGGATAAAAAAGTTTCTAAACAACACGACTCATTTTCTGTCTAAAATAACTGGTCGTGTTCCATGCAGTCGCTCCAATCAACAGTCTTCAGCAGTTTAAAGTGATCACGAAGGGGGCTGGAAAAGCGGATATTTCCGTGTCAATCACGACCCCTTCGGGGACCAAAGTTCAAGCTCACGTCATTCCCAGTGCAGACGGCTTTCTTGTCAACTTCACTCCAACTCACTTGGGGGAATATCTTCTCAGCATTTCCTTTGGCGGTGAGCCCGTTCGTGGGACACCGCACCGCCTCATGTGCACCCATGAAAGTGACGCTGGAAGAGTTATTGCTCACGGTATTGGGCTCAAGAGTGGCATGGTGAACCACCCGGCAGAGTTCACCATTGATACTCGCGGTGCAGGTCAGGGTGGGCTGGGAGTCACTGTTGAAGGTCCGTGCGAGGCGGCGATCAATTGTCGTGATAATGGAGACGGGACTTGCTCCGTCGCCTATCTCCCCACGGAAATGGGCGACTACTCAATCAACATTACCTTCAACGACGAACATATTCCGGGCTCTCCGTTCCAAGCTCTCATCTCTCCAGAGGCTGACCTCAACAATATTAGAGTGTCCGGAAATGGAATTATGCCACACGGTACACACGGTGTTGTGTGGGTATGTGGAGTGGAATAACGCATGTTTTGTCGGATTTCTCAAATAATAACGAGTTTCAGTGTCATACTAAAAGCTTAATTTTTATAAAATGCAAATCCTCGATATAAAATTATTGGTATTACGTGTAACTGTATGAAGTGAGAGTGGAATTTTAAGTAACAGCATCATTTTAAACTTGTTGTTTCACTTTAAAGTGTACCGACATAATTCATATGCCATAATTTTCAGGTGTATTCGCTGACTCCCCGACTGACTTTGTTGTCGACACGAGAACCTTGTCCAGCACAAACCCTCGTGGGAAAGTAACATGCTCAATCACCAACCCATCAGGAGCCAAGACGGACAATTACATCACGCCCATGTCCGACGGGACTTACCGCATGTAAGCATTTTTATTCAGAAATTAGAGCAGTAGAAATTAAATATAATTGGGATATAATTATTTGCAAATAGTTCTTACACCCCTTTCGAAGAGGGAACCCATCTCATTGACATTTTATATGACGGTATGAAACTCTACGAAATAATTCTCACCTAAAATTATTGGGAGATCTAAAATCTGATTCATTTGTTGTTATTCTTTTATGATGACGATTATTTTGGAAACTATCAGGGTAAGAAATTTTTCTTGTTTATATTCATGTGTCTGTTTATTAGTGTTTATTACCAAAAGCTGTTTTTTTAGAGTTCCCATTCCCGGAAGTCCTTTCGCTGTGAATGTGAGAAGAGGTTGTGATCCTAACAAGGTCAAAGCCTTTGGACCTGGTTTAGAGCGTGGCGTTGTGAAGGTTTGTTGATAATAACTTTAATGAATAGCACATATTGATTGTGATGAATAGTGATTGGAGGGGACTGGATCATTGTTTGCTTGATTTCCACTCACCATCACTTGAAATGCATACGTTACGTATGATACGTATGACATTTCTACGAATGACGAGTAGGAGAACAATCAAATTGAGCAGTCAACGTGTACATAGCTTTGCATGCATACAATGAATGTTTTGGAAGTATTTGGAACCAGTTATAATGCACATGTCAATTCTCCATTTCAGAAACCCAACATCTTTACGATAGAGACAAAAGGTAACATACATACATACGTTCATTAAATAATTAGTATAATGCTCTAATTATGAATCTCTTGTAGGAGCCGGAACTGGGGGCCTTGGGCTAGCAATTGAAGGTAAGTAAACATGGTACGGATGTCAAAAATGAGTACTAAAAATGAGTCTTATTTTCTCAATTCAGGTCCATCAGAAGCTAAAATGACCTGCAAAGATAATCGCGATGGATCTTGCACTGTTGAGGTAAGAGCTTTCTTAGCTCTGCTTTTGTAGTGATGATCATTTGAAAAGCGACTCTAATCAGATTCTTATTTCAATTTCTAGTATGTCCCAACGGAACCTGGAGATTACGACATTAGCATCAAATTTGCTGATAAAGATATTCCTGGTAAGAAAAATATACTCATTTAACATGTCATTCATGATCTTACTAATTGTTTTGACATGTGAAGGGTCGCCTTTCAAAGTACCTGTTGACTACACGGTGGATACCACGAATGTACGAGCGTATGGTCCAGGTCTTGATCCCAAAAATGTGAGAGAAGGAATACCACAAACCTTCAAAATCGACGCTTCCAAAGCTGGTCATGCACCCTTATCTGTGGATATTGTGGGTAAGAAATTGGAACAACATCACCTCTAAGTTGATTAACTATTCTCAATACTATTCATCGATGACATGTATATTAATTTAAAATGTCACACCAGTAGAGGAATTAGTGACTCGAGGGCAATAGATTCTGTTTGCATCAACATTGATGGATTCTAATAAATCTTTTAAGAATTACAAGCCTTGTTGAAAGCAGATTGAAAACTAGGCTCATTCAAATTTCAAATTTCCGTAATCGTCTATCTGCAATAATAACAATGCAATAATACAATGATTATTAATTATTCCTACGCATTTCTATACAGGTTCTAAAGAGAAGCCAGAAATCAGGGATAATGGAGATGGAACTTATGACGTGACCTACAAACCACCCAAAGAAGGAACCCCCATTGTGGCCACTGTAAAATGGAATGGAAAAGACATCCCAAACACGTGAGTATTCGCAATCTTTAGTCGAGTAACTCTTTCCTAAAGTGGACACTTAAACATACTTTTGCATTTAATTGAAGACCTGTCCACATGAATGTACGACCAAAAGTGGAACCTGGTAAAGTGAAAGTTTTCGGAAAAGGAGTTTCGTCCACTGGGATCCCTGCTTCAATTCCTGTCGACTTTACCGTCGATACAACCGAAGCTGGCTTTGGCGATTTGGAAGTTCAAGTGCTGGTAAGAAATATTTTTTAAGGAACTAAGTAAATTAAACTAACTCAAGTTTATCCAAGTTCATCCATTACTGAAAATATGTAGGGACCTGATAACTACCCAAGAAAAGTTAAAATTACCGACAACAACGGAGATGGAACATTCAAAGCCTCGTACACTCCAGACGATTGTGGAAGGTATAAAGTGAACGTAAAGTATGGTGGAAAGGAAATTCCCCACTCGCCCTTCCCCGTCCAATCCTATGCCACTGGTCATGTAAGTTGTTGTCAAATACTAATCATAGCGTATAAAGTGAAAGCTGTGATTTTTTAGTCCATTATTTATTTAAGTACATGTCCTCAACAGGCGGATAAATGTAAAATAACTGAAGGACTTCATCAAGCCTTGAATATTGGTGAAGAATATTGCATAACTGTCAACGCAAAAAATGCTGGTTCTGGAGCTGTCACTTGCAGAATACGATCAACATCCGGAAGGTATAGATATGAATTTACACACGACTGCTCATTTCCCTAAAATCTTATGTATGCATATAAATCGTAGCTACTTACTTATCCTGTTGCTTGTGATATATTTATAGCGATGTGGATATCGAGGTGGACGACAACCATGATGGCACATTTTCTATTTATTATATGGTCAAAGACATTGGAGAATATACCCTTAGTATCAAATTTGGTGGTCAGCCAGTTCCCGATGGATTTTATACGTTTACAGTAAGTCAAATTTTTGTTTATCAATTTTTTTCCTTCGGCATTCCAATTATGACAAAAATTGTTTGCATCAACCCGTCATCTCATTCCTTACTTAAAAAGTACACTACAATTTAGTGGTACGAATGTAAATAAGTTTTTCCTGACAAAATAGTGAATCAGAATAGATGACGCATCATGTGTCGCCATTGACTGAAGTTTTCAACAGTTTTATAGCCGTTAAATCAGGCAGTTGTATAAAACCTCGAATTTTACTATGAAAAAAACGCGAAGCTTTTGAACATAAAAATGTTCAAAGGTTCTGAGGATAAAAATGTTCAAATACAAATTAAGATTTCTTGTCTGGCCTGACTCATGTTTGAAAGAATGAGTCTCTATCTCTACTTTCGTACTTAAGTATATCACGGTAATTACGTAGCCAATATTCTGCTTTACTTTATTGCTTCAAGTCGAATCACTGTTCTTCGTGGTTACATACAGCACACGGCACAACACCATTCAACGGTGGCGTCCTTTTTTTCACGAAAATTTATTGAAACCAAGTGGGCGGATCTATGTATCCGTAGGCAAGCATAAGCTAAAATTGGACCATCTTTCCACATCCTACAAATTTAATAGGACGGTTTAAGTTTAAAATTTAACTCTTGACGATGGAATGAACCCGAATTTATTTAGGAGTCTCACAAACCCATAATGTCGTGTATCCAGTTGTCCCATGAGCACCTACTGAATTTTATAACAAAAAGTAGTCGAGAAGAAAAGTGAGGAGAACTTTCTAGTTTTTTTTAAATGGTGGGTGGATCGAATAACCAGCAGTCGGGGTTTGGCCAATGTCTCTCCACAATGCTTATTCTGTCGACAGGTTTTTTCTTAGATTGCTCCATTGGCCTCTTCAATTAATGGTGTCACAAATTGATGAGCACGAAAAAATAATTTTATTGAGGGACGAGACGAGCCCACAAATTCTGGTGTCATTGACCATTACTTGGAATAAAATTACACTGATTTTCTCCTAATTTATTGTGTCTGGGTTAATTTAAATATTTGGAAAGCATTTATTTAAATCAAATGACATCATCATTAAAAGTTAAACAGACCGAACCGACAGGAGGAGAGGAGACATGTAACAAAGAGAAATACCGAAATGATTCCGCATGAAAAAGAAGAGAAATGTTGTTGTGATTTCGTTAAATTGTCGGAGAAAAGAAACAAAATCACGAAGAGGTTAGAAGTTAGAGGGAAAATTGTACACATATCTCAACAGCTTTATAACCTATTAAGTAGTCTGTGCAAATTTAACCACCGTATTATTTTTAGTCGGAATTTGCATATGCGTAGGTGCATTATAATGGGACTGTGAAAATAATGAGACACAGGAACCGGCGGAAGTGATGGTGTTCATATCAGGTTGTACGTATGTAGTAAAATCCTGGAATAAGTGGCGACAATATTCATGTGAGCTCTTTATTTTTGGCTTTTCGTAAACTAAAAAATGATGCTGAACCGCGATGATATAAGAATTCGGGAATATGGTTTGGTTTCCGTCGAGCGATGTGATAAGGAATATTGGATGATTTCAAAGAAGGGTTCGTACAGAAGATTGAGGATACGCTGATTTTATGGGATCAGAGTAAAGCATATCTTGTTGCCTGAGTGTAATACCTTGTCTCTCTGTCTGTATATCTTAATCACAAAGGTTTTCAGAAAAATGGGGTACAAAGTATGTACTTATACACACTTACTGTAAATTTGGGAATAGTTTCCGCGTGGCTGAATTCAATATTATTGATATCATATGGAGCAGAATATCATGACTAATCATGACTGCTTTCTGAATCGTTACATGATAATGTACACATCACTTTGGAGACAAATGAATAAACATATTACGTTGTCTGAAAAACGCTTCACGCTTCTTCACACACAAAAGCACAAAATATACTGCTGAATGTTTTGCAGTTTACTTTGAGGTAATGGCTTCCGTGAAGTATATGTGTCTCAAGAGACACGTACATCGGTTGATATCAGGGTTCTATTGCCGGATATATTTATGTAGCGTGGACTAGAAGCAATAACAAAATGAAACATTAAAGCGTTGTCAACCAATTCGATCCCTGGATCTGGATGCCATATTAGAAACTCGATCAGTGGAATCGGTGAAACAAGTTCAGTTTCACTTCTCAGTCGCTTCCCAGTAGAAAGAAGTAAGAAAGTAGGTAAAAAGTGTATAAAGTGTTTGACCTCTTGCGTTGAGAAACGTAGTAGTTTTCACAGGTCTCAATTTGGTGGAGGTTCGTGTGTGATCTTCTTTTCATGCGTTATTTTCATTCAACTGACTCAGTGTAATCGGAAGTTGTCATATTCGGTGATCAGGACATTTTAGTAATATCAGCAAGTATTACAGAGATTAATTTTGCCGACCAGTCGACTGTGACGGTACGTCATTTCGTTTTGATAAATTGCACACATGCCATCCGCCATAGGTCAAGACCAAAGTTGCTCGTGAAGCATCCCTCATCTTCATCTCTTAAAAACTCCTGTAAAAGCTGTAGGCAGATTTTTTCCATGAAATTACATAATACGCACTCCATCATAAACTGCCAAAGTGCTGCTAAAGTATAGCTACATATTGAAGGATTTTGGGTACTGGCTTTTAAAAAATAGCCGAATTATGTAATGTGTATATAAAGCAAGCCCTACTTTCTCCACAATAATGCACATCAAAAGAGATCCCGTTGATTAAGATTGTGTTTGACACGAAAAAACACAACATGGCAAATGCCAGGCTTCCACTTATCTCCGAGTAAACAATTTTAGCAGCCACAAGAGTGGATTAGAGACGGAATGTAATCCACATTATTCGCATTCTTGGTAAAATTGATCCATTTGATGAGATAAAAAGACACTATGAATGCTGGAATGGAATGTTTTACGAGTTGTGGTGGTAAGTACTGATGTAAATAAACGCTAGAAGACCAAGGTTTCCAAGATGGCATAGATTGAATACGGAATGTTAATCTTCAGGATGTTAAAAAAATGCAAACTTTGTCGAAACAAGGCACACTTTCCATTCCATTTGTTGACTATTCTTGACTAATTAGTGTTTGACTACATTTGTCACCACAGAATGCCATTTAAAAGTTCCAACGCGTTAATTGCTATTTGCAAAGCATTACTCAGATTACAGAATGGCTTGGAGATAAGAAAAGTCACTATTTTTAAATAAGTACACATAAAATTAAACCATAATGTGACCAAGCACTGCATCATTGCTTATCATATATGCATAGAGAACGGGGTTTCAATTTCATTCATGACAATATAACGTTTATTACTACATGCGAGTACGTGAGTAAATAGTAGAACGATGTTATTTAGACATAAGTACTTGCTATGCGCAAGAATTTGTGCTCATGGACTCCACTAGGAAATTAAATGACTGATGTGCATGGTTCCTCTGACACGCTAATCATCCATTGTATTTTGATAAGTTTTGTAATAGGTTAAACTACGGTGTGGCTCGAAATACATATCATTATTTGCTCACATTCCTCCTCATATCTCACTGTGCTCTGGCCTTAAACTTGAGCAAGGGCCTTCATTCACGGTTTGGTTTTTAGTGACAGCAAGCGACCAATTATCTGATTAGTTAATGTGATGTCATCATGATTGCAAAACTAACCTACGGACCAGAGAATTAATTGCCTCAATTTGTTATTCAACAAGACTCGTTTTGTTCAGAATGTTCACTGTAACTTTGCTAGCATCGACTAATTTAAAAACATAAACAATCATAGCAGTAAATAAATAAATAATTGGAATCCATGCGTTCCATGAATTCATAATACCAGGAATTTTTGTTTAAAATTACATAAACAATGGCCAAATTGTACAGCCGAAGAGTAACTTTCATGCCGGCAGATAAAGTAGGGCCGACTTTTCCATGGCCGAGTGACGGTCATTTGAAGGGATTTCGGTTCGATTGGCCGCCATGGTCTCCACAGGTTGTAATTGGAAGTCTGTGAAGTGGTATCATGTCTGCAAGTTTTTAATTTTTGCAATATTTTTGGAATGATTCAGGCAGATACAGACGGTTTCGTGAAAAAGGAACGAGTGGAACGGTACAACGCCACCCCGCACGCGACCAACCTCACCCAACAAACGACGACAACCACAACCACGCAAAGAAGCACCACCACAACTACCACGACCTATCGACCCGTTGAACTTCATAATATTCCATTACCAACCACTGGAGGACACGTCGTAGGTAAGAACTGAAAAGTTTTATGTCTATAAATGCAAAACGGTGCGTATTGTGTGTACGAATCATGTCATTTAAGGAATCATCCAAAGTGAATAACGCGACAGGGGCACATCTATTTACATAAATACAGAAGGAGATGGATTATGTGAAACTTTAAAAAAATTAGGGTTAACTAGCGGAACATTAATTTTCTTAAGGATTGTCATCGGCTATGCGCAGTTTAATCTGAAATATCTCTTTCTTGGCACTGTGTGTACTACAACTACGACATTTTTCATTCTGGCATCAGATCTAAATCATGTATTTTCCCCAAACCAACGATGCCACGTAACGCACACACACACCCATTGGAAGAGAAATATGCACATATATATAAGTCGACATTATGTATGATTTTATCAACAACTGGACCACCAGACCATACACCCTGTCTTAGAATCTGGTCACCACACACCACAGTGTGTAGATAATATTACATATGTAATTGTACACGTGGCGTCGTGAAATATGTATGTAAGGGTTTATGTATTTCTGAGCAGATCCATGTAAAATGAAGACTTCTGTTTCAATGGAAATTCTCAAAATAGTTTGCATAAAACAGGCGACATGTTCATATTGTAGTTTAGTTTATTACACCAAGACCAAGATTTCGCAGAAAGACGAACAAAATGACCAGTTTCTCATATATTTGGAATGATCCAGTCCCACTTTCACCAATTTTCTTTGATCGTTCGAATTTTACTGTGACGGAAATCAGTAACTTTTGGTATTGTCGACAGCTCAAGGAAATATTTTTTAGCGAAGTAAATAAAGCAGAAAAGACTGTGTGCTTGTTAAAATCATCATCCATAAGTTTGCCTTGTAAAGGGAAGGGACGCTTGTTTAGGATCAATAATAGAATTGATGTAGTTAATGCAGTGGTTTCTTGCTATTTTATCCGGACGAGTCAAGGTTGTTAAATTTGGTTAAGAAATTTGTAGATTTTAAATTTCTATTATATTTTTTCATATTTCAGCCGAAATCAAAATGCCGAGTGGAACAGTTGACAAGCCGATGATTGAGGACAATCGAGACGGGACAGTAAGTATTCGATACGATCCTCGAGAAGAAGGATTGCACGAGCTTCATGTGAAATACAACGGGGAACACGTCCAAGGTGAGAGAAGCAATGGAAAAAAATTATTATCTAATCATATGTCAATTTCAAAAATCGATATTTTATTTGAACGCATAACAGGGTCTCCATTCAAGTTTCACGTGGACACAATTTCTAGTGGATTTGTGACCGCGTATGGATCTGGGTTGACCCACGGTGTGAGTGGAGAGCCGTGCAATTTTACTATTTCGACAAAAGGAGCTGGGGCAGGTACGAAGATTGATTGCATCCTGTGTCTCGTTGTGAGAGAGGTGAAAGCAGTATAGACTTGAAGTGGTGATATTGTGTCGCAGGGGGATTATCGCTTGCTGTGGAGGGTCCAAGCAAGGCTGAAATTAGCTGCCATGATAACAAGGATGGCACAGTTTCCGTTTCCTATTTGCCTACTGCCCCTGGAGAATATAAAATTTCGGTTAAGTTTGGGGATAAAAATGTAAGTCTTACGCAGTTCTAAAAGTAAAATATTATAAAACAGTTCTGTAATGTATTCCTTCTTCATACGTAGATCAAGGGGAGCCCATTCACTGCCAAGATAACTGGTACGTGAAACATGCACAGTTTTTTTTCATGAGCAGTTAAGTTGAAAACACTGTTGTGTTTATAATAGGTGAAGGTCGAAAGAGAAACCAGATTTCCGTCGGATCCTGCAGCGAAGTAACGTTTCCAGGTAAGCAAGCTGGCAACTTAAAAATCCACTTTAAAACTGTACATATCAAACTAGTCATATTTTTGTTATATCAATTCAGGTAAAGTGACAGATGCTGACTTGCGTGCACTCAACGCATCCATCTGTGCCCCCAGTGGGCTGGAAGAACCCTGTTTTCTCAAGCGTTTACCCAGCGGAAATATTGGTAATTTTTTTTAGTCATCCTCATCACCATTGTCATATTTGCATATAATTATGTGCAGATAACGTATAAATATTTGTTTATTCACCCGTTTTCATAAACTCAGGAATTTCTTTCACTCCGCGTGAAATTGGAGAACATCTGGTCTCAGTGAAAAGGATGGGGACGCACATTGCCAACTCACCATTCAAAATTCAAGTTGGAGAAAGGGAAGTGGGCGACGCCAAAAAAGTCAAAACTTCGGGAACTGCTTTAAAGGAGGGCTCAACTCATGCAGACAACACGTTCAATGTGGACACCAGGAATGCTGGCTATGGTGGTTTGTCCCTCTCAATTGAAGGGCCGAGTAAAGCAGAGATCAAATGCCAGGATAAGGATGACGGGACGCTGGATATTTCTTATACTCCAACAGAACCTGGATACTATATTGTCAATTTGAAATTTGCTGATCATCATGTAAGAAACTGTTGTGTATTTTGCGAATTTTCTAAATCAGTAAATCTAAATGTCGCAATTATGCAGGAAATAAATACATCTCAATGTTTTAATAGGTTGAAGGAAGTCCTTTCACCGTGAAAGTCAGCGGCGAAGGCTCAAACCGTCAACGAGAACGAATTCAAAGACAACGCGAAGCAGTTCCACTAACCGAAGTTGGATCAGAATGTCGTTTAACATTCAAAATGCCAGGTGCGATAAGATATCATATTACTCATTACTAAGAATTCTGATGCATAAGCAAACAAATTCAGTATGCTAATCAAAATACCCTTCGTGTAGGAATATTACCACTGGATCTCTCGGCAACCGTCACAAGTCCGGGTGGTGTAACGGAGGATGCTGCAATTAACGAGGTTGAAGACGGTCTTTATGCCGTTCACTTCGTCCCCAAGGAGCTGGGTGTGCACACGGTATCTGTCCGTTACAAGGACATGCATATTCCCGGATCCCCCTTTCAGTTTACGGTTGGAGCCCTTCGAGATGGTGGAGCACATCGTGTCCACGCTGGCGGTCCAGGTTTGGAGCGTGGCGAACAAGGGCAGCCCTGCGAGTTCAACATCTGGACCCGAGAAGCAGGTGCCGGGTCGCTTGCAATCTCAGTCGAGGGCCCGAGCAAAGCTGAGATCGACTTCAAGGACCGAAAAGACGGATCTTGTTATGTCAGCTATGTCGTCACCGAGCCTGGTATGAAATTGTCTCATTTTCCCCGCTTCCCCATTTCTCAGTAGTCATCCTTGTACATATTTAGATATTCTTCTTGCAATCAAAAGACCAAACAATGTTCAAACTTCATCCCACTAATCTTGCACATGAAAAGCGATTAGCATCGTCGTGTATCAGTGTAGGGCAAGTCCCATTATTTATTATTCACAAAGGACGAAAAGCATGACATTTCAACCCAAAGTGAAAGTGTGAGAAGCAGAGTGGAAAGCGAGTCAATTGTGTTGAGATGCATTTAGACAATGCATATTCACTCAGTCGTTTAAATGCACGACTCGAATTAATGAAAGCGTGTTTTCGCATCACCTCAAAATATAAATTTAAGGGATTCACAATCTGATTCAGAAAGACGAAAACTAATGTATTCAAAACTATACGAATTTGAGATTTTGAAATTTCATTCTCTTCCACACTGTCGTTAATTAGTGCACAAAGAATCAAAAGCTATTGACTATCTATATATAAATACTCAGGGCTTTCTAATTAATTAGTCAATCTAATTAATTAGCTAATTAAATAGCAATGTCTGTCTAATTACTAATTACTAATTAAAGTTAATTAGTAGAATACTACCTAATTAAAATTACTAATTAATTAAAATGATCAACAAACCAATTACTAATTAATTTGTTTTTTCTAAACAAAATTAAGTTTTTAATGCACATTTCTCGTTTAGCCTTTAAAAAAATTTTTTGTCGGCAGCAAATATGTATACCATACGTGTTTTATCAACTTCTTGGCGTTTTTTACACTTGTATTTACAACTTTAAACCTTTGTATTAAAACAACGAGATAGCAATATATTTTTGATATATCCTTGAATATAATGGACTCCCTTGCATAGAACCTCAAAAACTTGTTTGATAATTTGAATGGATGGTATACTTTTAAAAAAGTTGACAGCGACAAAGTAACGACTGCTCGTAAATCTTGTCCAAATAAAGCGATTACCGGTACAACTAAGGTCAGCTCTAATTTCCACAGCCATCTTAAGGTAGTGCGTAATTTGTTTTAAATTTTAAAATAATTCAACATTTTACATTCGCCGAAAGACGACTTATTCGAGGCATTAGCCATGCTGAAATGTTGTGAAATTAATTCATAAAAAGGGTATGGGATCTTAATTATTTAGTAATTAGAAGTAATTAATTAGCTAATTAAAAATTAATTAGTTTGCTGGTTCAGAAGTAATTACTAATTAAACAATTAATTAGATCAAAATTTTCGGAACTAATTACTAATTGCTAATTAATTAGAAAAGTGGATAATTAGAAAGCCCTGTAAATACTACATATATATACCGAGAATCGTATTAATATCGACGTACAAGTCAGTTACCTGTTTGTAGCATACTTCTGACTGATTGATATAAATATACATGCAAACTTAATAACAGCTTGAGTCGAAAGCTTAATCAGAATAAGTCACAATAATAATTCATCGATCATAGTAAATGGCTATCGAAATGCAGTTCCACACGCCCACGCTCCAATAGAATAGCGATATTTGCTTGTGGGGATGTTTTTACCTAAGTTTGAAATTATATTGAAACCTGAGTTAGCTGAGTAGACAAACTGCTTCCATATTCTTCTGTCAAGTGCAAACATATAACGGGGATGATTACATGAAATTTGCTCAGTCTATGAAACGGCTTTGGTGCACAAGGTGAAGGATAAGTTTTCAAAGTTATTTTAGCCCCAAGTGACCCTGTGTTACAGAACATTAGTTGTTATTTGTGATGGCCAAAGTGTTTAGGTCATGTCAAGAAATCACGTTGTGCAACACCCCCGCAAAGGCTGACCTTGATGATCCTGGACCTGGTGAAATAGAAGAACGAGGTCAAGTGCAATGTAGCTCTGTAGTGTAAATTACATAATTTCTTGGTATCTACATTTATTATATCATTATTTTTAGGAACCGTTTTTTTATTTCGTTTTTTTTTAATTTTCATAGGAAACTAATGTACTTGCTTTATAAAAGCCGCATGATGATTCTTAAAATTACATTAGCTTCAAACGTCATAAATGTGGGAACTAAAATTAGACTAGGAATATGATGCAGAATGTTGAAGTGTGTGTTTATTTCTGCGGACAGTTTCTGGCTTCGAGCCAATTTTGATATTGTGTAGATAAATTTTGCATATGCTGTTACATACATGCGAATTCATAATCAGCAGAGTGGTCATAATCACTCGGCAAATACTTATATTAAGCCACCAATCAGAAACTTGTGCAATCATTTAAGGTCATAATTTCTTTAGGAGAAATATTGCGTGTAAAATCTGTATAAAATGTTTGAAATAATGTTGCAGGTGAATATCGCGTTGGGATCAAATTTAATGACCAGCATATTCCAGATTCTCCATACAAAGTGTACATTTCTCCATCAGTGGCAGACGCTCGAAAGGTTGAGGTCTTCCAACTAATCGGAGGGGCTGTCCAACCTGGAAAACCGGCTCAATTTATGGTCCGGAAGAATGGAGCTACTGGAAATTTGGATGCCAAGTTGATCTCTCCATCCGGAGTGGAGGATGACTGTTTCATCGCCTGGGTGGAGGATGACGTTTACAGTATTCGATACGTCCCTAAAGAAAATGGAATCCACAATATCCACGTTAAATTTAACGGGGTTCACATCACCGGCTCTCCTTTCCGAGTCAAGGTAAACAATCTGTTTCGAATAATGAGGCTCATTTGTTGTGCTTTTGGGATGCAAGTTTTGCCTAATGGATTTGTCTCAATTCCGTCTTTGCTAGGTTGGGAAAGATGACGCTGACCCGGCTGCCGTCAATGCTCATGGCAAAGGACTCATGGATGTGAAAACTGGACAAAAGACGGATTTTATTGTTGACACTTGTAATGCAGGGGCTGGACATTTGGCAGTTACCATCGATGGTTAATTTATAATATTTTAATTAAATGTCATGCAACTTTTTATTCTGAAAGGAAGAAAACATATACAATTGTTTTTACTGTAAATATAGGTCCATCCAAGGTGTCAATGGATTGCACCGAAGTAGAAGAAGGGTATAAGGTAAGTTGTGCGATTCACATGCAATTTTTTTTACAAACATGTCCTTTAATTCAGTTGTGAAATTATATTAATTATGTGATAATTCTAGGTCCGATACACCCCATTGGTACCCGGAGATTATTACATCAGCGTCAAATATAATGGATACCATGTAAGATTTTTTTAAACGCGTGAGCATACCTAAAAGATTAATAATCAAGTAATCAACATATATCCCTCTCTTGACAGATCGTTGGGAGTCCATTCAAAGTAATTTGCAGCGGAGATGACCTAGCAGAACGTGGAGCTCAAGAGACGTCATCAGTGGTGGTTGAAACGGTGCAAAAGGTATCAAAATATCACAGCAAGGGACCCGTATTGCCACTCTTTAAATCCGATGCGTCCAAAGTCACCTGCAAGGGAATGGGCCTTAAAAAGGCATTCATGCAGAAGCAAAATCAATTTACAATTAATGCTACGGATGCAGGTATGTTATACATGATATACTAGTCAATTTCATGCATCGTAAACTATAAGGTATTGAGAACAATGCTTATTTTGAACTTTAGGAAACAACATAGTTTACGTGGGAGTTTACGGTCCGAAGGGTCCGTGCGAGGAAGTTTTCATTAAACACTTGGGACACAACAACTATCAAGTTAACTACACCGTGAGAGATCGAGGAGAATACCTTATCATATGCAAATGGGGAGATGAGCATATTCCAGGTTTCTGAAATACATACTTATTAATCAACTCACAAGAGTGAACACATTATTCATAAGGATGCAACTTATGTATTCTTTTGTGTACAGGTTCTCCATTCAAAGTCGATGTTTAGAGATTTTCGGTTTTGATACTGCGACAACTATTACTACCATCATTATTATTACTACGTCGTCATCGTCGTCGTCGTCGTACCACCCATTCATTTGTTCATTCAAACCTCTGCCATATTTACCACTTATTGTTTTTTTATAAAATGCACTCGTGCATTAAAAAATATTTGAAGTGAACAATTAGATCTGCTTCCTCGGGAAATTACACTACATATTTACAAAGCTATAAGTTACATATAGGTACTTAAGTTATGAAACCTATTTTAGTCATGATGGTAAAACTTAATGATTTAATGTCATAAAATATAGGAATCCCTATTTAGAAACTAATTTAATTTCCCAGTAAAAGTATTTTGTTGTTTTTTGTAATTGTTTTCCTTTCTCCTTGAACTTATACATATTTATAAGCTAAAATACTATATGGATCTAACTATAGTATTATTATATAAGTTCTGGACCATACCACGATACTATTTTCCACAAACCAAATAGGTGCTTGTGAACCATAATAAGCTTTACCTTAGCGTACCACAACTACATACTTATATTACCTGCAAAAAAAACTTGTAATTATTAAAATTCTACTAAAGACTACAATTATTATTACATGCATAATGCAATCAGGCAAACCGATAACTGTTTCCTCACGTGCGTAGTATACACATATTACGTACGAAATATATACAGTCATGCTCACGAAATAATAATGCCACCCATACATAATAATAATCATCATTTAAGAGGGTTAGGTCTTAAACTAAAGTTTTTCATATTAAATGCCAAATTAACATGTTCAATGAATCCAAGATTGCTAAACGTTGCTTATTTGTAAGGACCGAGTGAAATATATATCAAATTTTTGGCAATATATTGACATTAATTAAGTAAACTTTTGTGAACCTTATACAGTGATGCGGGGGGCGTAAAAGTAATGTTAACGTGTAAGAAGAATATTGTTAGGAGAGAGGAAGAATTGTGAATCAGTCAACACAAGTGCGCTGGTCGATTAAAATATGCACATGAGTTATAATAATAATGAAGATTAATATTAATAATAATACTGTTAACAATAATAACAATCATGGAAATGTATGGATTGCTGACAGATTGTATTCTGCAAGAGTGGAATGTTCTAAAAAAAGAGTAAAAGTATATGTAACGTGGAATGTAGCAGTTTTAGTGATCGAGTGCTTGTAAGTAAGAATGTGGGGTTTATCCAGTGCTAATTTATTCACCCAATACGTAACCCGGTCTGTTCATTGTTGTTTGTTCAATCCAATGAAATCGAAATAAATAAACAAGTGCCTTAATGTAAACATAAGGATTCAGAAAAATGTGTGTCTCGAATGTTTCTTTTATGATGATTGATGATATAAAGGAAGGATTGCATAATACGCATGGTACACAATGTTGTATAGCACAGTTTAAAATTTATTGCATATACCGTGAGACTTGTCACCTTAGTCAAGAATTCATGGAGGAGGTGATGATACGATACGATAGGGTTCTACGTACTCAACGACATACGACGTCGACAGAATATTATCTCTCTTAAATAACGCGTATGGAATATTTGTAAGAAATATTTGATTAATACAACATATACATGACGGTAAGAACGTAACAACGTAAACAGGAGGACATACTCCCGTTGGACATACTGGTGGTTATAGACATTTGATTTCTCATGAGCGCACTAAAAGTTTGTTTTTATACAGAAGGTAAGAATATATGACGAACGACGATGAGATTTAACCTAGATTTTGTTGATCTTTTCACTAACGACCACGGGATTGTTCTTGCGAATTTCATCAGCTCCCAGCTGACGATAGTCAAAACTGCAATTGTGCTTGTCACTGTAGCGATGAGTAGAACAAAAGAGGCCTCCACAACGACATTCAAAACCTGTTGTACACACAATTAATTTGTGAATATATATAATTATTATGTATGTACAAATTTATAATTCTTTGATGCATGATGGGTAATCATACCTGTAAGGCCGACTTTCTTTCGACACGACATGCAACGATTGGACTTCTTTTTGGTATCAGATACGCCGACGCTCTCCATATTCGATGACTCTGGAGTCGAAGCCACAGCGGCTGCCGCAGCCGTAGAAGGTTTTTCGTCATCTTTAACAGCCCCCTCGCCCTCCTAAGAGAAAATCAATACATGACCAGTTACTTTTTAGGTCTAAAATTAAAAATTAGGATATTTGAACTCTTGCTTCGAACCCGTGAAACATATTGAACCATCACCAATAGGCCGTTATATATATACATATAATTTATATAAGTATATGCGGGATAGCGTACATAAATTATCACATTCATGCAACCAGTATTATAAGTATACTTTGTTCATATAATAGGAGTCAAAACACCATACATACACACCACAACTACCTTGTTTAAATTATGATTAGACCCCGGAAGTTTGTAAATGTTGTATTAATATCAGATCCTATATTATCCATATTTCTTAATCGTCTACACTGTGACTGTCGTAGTTGGCCTCACCACAACCTACTAAGTACTTTCCGTATGGCGTACAATACTTGGACTCATCTCCCCCTCAGCGTGCAAAGTTTGTCCTGCTTAAGCTAAATAATTTTTATTCACAGATTTATCGCATAACTAAATATATTGACTGTAACACTGAACTTGATGGGACAAAACTTTTCCGGTATTATAAAAAATATAAATCTCCACAAGACAAGACCAAAAGATAATGACACTTGATATCTGCTAGTTAACTCCTTATCATCATCATCCTTTCATTATCCTTGCGTCATTGGTTAAAGCTGGAACATGGTAGCGGCACAATAATTTGTTACCAACAGCGCCAGACCAGAAGCAAAAAGAAATAACCACGGGACGGGACGACTAACTATTACGCATTTACCATCCTTCGTTTGGCGAGAACTGCACACGTACATAATAGCATTCGCAAATCTCGTGCATCGCATTGACATATGCTGGCGTATGAGTACGAGTTAAATTTTTGGCAATCGTCGTTCTCTCGTCCTCGCAGACTCGCAGAATGCAAAACTCTAAATTAACTTTGCACATAATCCCAAGAAATAAAAAAAGTAGTCTATCTGTTATGCGACAACAAGTCACACTCACAAACTGGCTGACGAAACCGACCGAGACTTTTTCAATTGGTACAAACTAGCATCAGAGGGCAATCCAGCAGCAGTGGTTCTGGGTTCACCCAAGCCAGATTAACCTTTTACGATGGTGATGAGAACGAAACCTAACGTTACTTTATGTGTAAATCAATAGCATCAATTCACATAATAAACCAGCACATTGGACGATGGAAGTTCAACAGGGAGGAAGTGCACAAATGTCACGCCAAGTTAATAAATACAACAGTCGCGCATACATCACTAATCTTTCGTATCATCATACTCGTCAGTCTATCCATAACTGAGAAGTAGGAAAATGTAAAGCAGAAAATTCATTTCAAAGTCAATGATCAAGTGTCAAATGTGACTTTTTTATGACTACATTCGATTCCATTTAAATTTGTATCACATTTCCTGAAACTGGATATGAATGTGTCAACCAAGTTGTTGTTCGTCCAACATTTTTTCATTTCATCTCGCTCGAGAAGAAGGACGTCAATATTTCTTCTCTTTCCCTCCTGTCGTCATGATCTGTCTATCTACCTATTTTTCCTTGAAAGTTTCCTATGCCATACTCTGCACAGGGTTCAGCTCTCTTTGTCCGCACAGCACGCTGCTATTTTAAGAAACTCGTGCTAACCTGACGCAAGATACGTATATAATGGATACTTTATGCAAATCCGAATTCGGGGTCAAATCTCAAAAAAGTGCAACAAAATTGCCGCACGCTACAACTTTAAGAGAATCTGAGCAACAAAACAACAATGTTTTGAACACATGCATGGATACGTCTATATATAGTTTGGATTAAGAAAATTGAAATAAAATATGCAACGACGGATTCAGAAAATTTAGTAAAATTACTATGTGTCATGTTGTTGTTTGTGGTACTCACCGCTTTGGGCTGTTGTAGGAATGAGATGGGGGATGAGCGAGACTCAACGGAGGAGGGGACGGGTGTGGTTCGCTGAGGGGACGGGACTTTCAAGCTGCCAGTGGGAGGCTGTTGCTTCTTCTTGACGACTTCTTTATAGCACACGGAGCAAAGTCCGTCTGTTGCTGCATTTCCAAAGAAACCACACCCTGCTTGGCATTGACGTTGATTCTGACTCCCCTCCATCCCGTTAGACTCGCCTTCCATATTGTTCATTTTGTTATTATTGTACTGTTCAGCTTCTCCTTCGCCACTACCCTTTCTTCTTGGATATTCAATCAGTTTAATGTCTGAAAGAATTAATAGTCATATGTAGTTGGTTGTTTTAAACTTTATATTGTAGACAGTTTTATGTGGAGTGACGAAGCATTGGAAAAAGTCGTTGTTGTTGAAATGGTGATGTACATGTAACAATACATCACCACTTTTAGACAGCTTTTACGCAGTTCCGTGTTGCACCATAATTATAACCTTCTAATCATTCATTAAATATAACCAAAGTGCAAAATACACTGAACTTTGCTGGAGCTCAAACACTAGGTGCAATATTTGTTCGCATTATTGCTCAACCCTAGTTCATTCAGCAAATAAACCATGACGCCATGATGTGATATACGAACTTGGTTACAAGAAAGAAAAAAATAAATCGATAAAATCAGATCAAAGTTCAACTGCCTCTTCAAGTTAAATCGTCAAACCATCTAAAAACTACGTACATAGTTCGTAGCACTGGTAGATAACAAAAATAGTTTTTGATAATGCGTTAAAACTTGAAATTCAATTTTTAAGTGAATTCGGTTTTTTAATGCAAATTTGGTTGCCCATTTTACCATCCTAGTCATTAAATAATGAAATGATTTATTAAAAAATATCTAATAATAATACTTTGCCAAACTTGAGTTTTTTTTTATTCCAACACCTAATGAATTTAACTGTTTTTTAAGCATCAAATTAACCACTCGCTCACTACTATCGTGTTTTTTCCATTACTTCACCAAGGCTGACTCAACTTATCAAGTTGCGAAATGACTCACCAGACCACCACTTTTTTACAATACACTTTAAGAGTTTGAGCTTACCTGTCGGGCCACACCAAATCGAGTTGTAGTACGGACGTTCAAAATCGAATGTAGAGTTATAAATGCAATCCTCAGCTGATTAATTGCTGATTTTAATTGATTTAAAAAATTACGTTGTCAATTAAAAAAAATGTCAAATGATCGTTACTTAATTGTCTTGTTGAATATCTATTCTATATGTTTGATCTTTTATTACAAGGTGGCGAAATTTAATAGTGGAGAAATGTAGATTATTGCTGGTTGGTCGTCACGAAGACTGGGCACACATATTTCTTATTTAGTGTCCTAACAAAAATTAGTTACGACAACGTCAGGCTCAGAATTATTATCGTCGTACAGCTAACAAAGAAACGAAATTTCTTTCCCCTTAATCTATCTATATGTCTTGTTTAATAGGATGTGCAAAAATTCCCTATAAAATAGCAACACTTGGAAATTATAACTCGTCACTGGACTCTCCTGCCTCCTGCCTGGTCAATATGTTGAAATCAATTAATTGCGATAAGTTGGGTTCTTGAGGGAATAATAATTTTTGTAAAATAGGCAGATCGATTCAATGGTGCAAGAGTGAAGAGAGAGAGACCCAGATTGAGAAAGACGTAGATTCGACGATGTTGAACAAAGAATAAAGGCATACAAATGGATGGATGGTGATGATGGTGGGTCTGGTCGTTCTATCCCCAACCAATACGATATCTACTAAAATCCACTTGCGCAAAATCAAGCTAAGGGCCGTTCACAAGGCACGAGAAGTCATGCTATAGAATTTTTCATAGAATGGGTTTCTTTCTACACAAGTGTCATAGAATAACGAGTCAAATTTGTCAAAGGTGCCTCAATTTTTTTTGCATTACCATGTATCCCTGCTTTCAGTTATAATTTGCAAAGTCAAATCTCACGATACTACTTGCTGGACTTTTTGGTATTATTAAATCTATTTGTTGATGTAGAGCGTTAAAACTTTGCAGATTGTGGATGCATTGCATACTTTCATTATGCGTAGATTTATTAGGCGTTATTATAGTAGAGATGAGTCTGAATTTTTTTTTTCAGAAAATATCATGAAATAAAAAGAAAATTTTTCATTTTGCATGAGGGTGATGTGATCATACAATTTTCTGTGAGCTGTGTGAAAGGCAAAATATTAGCAGGTGGAGGAAACTGTCGAGTTGTGAAGGCTGTTCATTTCGTGTATAACCCGTTTTATAGATTGCTTAATAATTAGTTCCCATAAAAATAACTGATAAAAGTCAGACGATACAATTTGTACGAAAAGGCAGTGATTTCTACAGCGTCAGAGACTTTGAATCAATAATTTTATCCATGTAATATCTCAATCCAGTAATACCTACCTACATATATGCATTACTCTGAGGCATATTGAGACAATATTTAACTTTCCAATTTAATAATAACCATCCTGACGCTGTTTCCATTTAATGTGATGGCCAACCACATCTAGTTCTTTCTGTACGACAGCAGAGCTCGTTCTGCCTTTTTGCATCATCCAAATCACTCTTGAACGCAGTGCACCCGAGCTATTACGTCATCGATTTAGCAAAAAAAGTAACAAAAACCGTTCTGGGAGGCTACACGCATCCCGACAATCTGGGAGACGTATTTGAACTTTAAACCGACCCACTGACTCTAAATTTTAAAAATAAATGTTTTAAGCATGGAAAACACGTGAAAAATGTGTAACAGCAACAAGTGTTGACTATATTTAAATTGGTTCATTGAGGGGCTTGCCTTTCTTCCATACGCTTCAATCAATACTCGTCAAAACCTTTGTTAGAAAATATTGTTTGCTTGCCCTTGAAGACTTTTATGTCGATACAATTTTGCATTGATGTTCACAAATGCGTTTCTGCACGTATGTGTACAGGTATGGTCATGACTGTCATAATAATCATAACTCATGGTCAGTCAGGCCTAATAAAACGGTTGACTTTTTTCCTTGCTGGCTGGCTTCTTAACGCTCCAGGAAAGAAAATGTATTACCGTCCATAATAATTACGTGTATGACTATTTCCTCGCTCCAGATTGCATTATCCATCCCATTTCTCGGCGAAAACGTAATGGGTTTATCTGGACCAAGCTTCCTCCACACTCATCTCCTCTTACTTGCAAAGGATGACTAATGCACACAAATTCGCAGGAATTGTTTGCCGTTTCGTCGTTCATTGCTTCGTTGTCCGGGCAAGTCGTAAGTGGAGAGTTGTATAAGAAGAAGAAGAAATAATGAATGACGCTGTTGGGACCTCATGATGACGCCATCGTGCCATCTCGCATGGAGCAGCATGCATTGATTCAACGTTTGGTTTTGACATTTGTGTGGGCAGATTGTTCCTACGGGGCGAATTTTGGGATGAATGGAAATGAAGTTATGAATTACTAAATAGTAATAGCTAACTTTGAAGTTATTTATTTATAGACAATTTAAAAATGTCGAGGCCAAAAATAGTTGAAAAAGGTGTCAGTTCTTACATTATTGACTTATGTTCTTACGGTATGTACATATTTACTACGAGGACCGTATTATTATGTATTTTGGTTTATTTTGGATCATTTGAGGTCGATGTTTCTGCTGCTGGAGTAAAAACCGTGCTCCAGGGCTTAAAGCGAGCCCATTATATTTTGGGTGAGGGTTCTTCGTAAGACTGCTGGTTAGAATATTAAAGGTCTTTTTAAAGGGCTCATCATTTTCCAAGAAGGCAGTCCGGATCTTCTTCTTAATGCCTTCGGGGGAATATTAAATAGTGCAACAGCTGGTTTCTCACACTCCGGATTTCAAAGACGCGTTCATAAGTAGCATAAATTCATGGAGTTTCATGACTATAATAAGTCTACAATTTTATTTCGTGTGCCACATTTATCTCATCAGTTGATGAATGTCTTTTTACAGTACGAGTAAACTGATGAAGGTTTCTGGATGGAATCAGAGCTGTCTAATCAATTAGAACAAATTGTTGACGCTAATTACAAATTTAATTAAATCAACATTTTCCAGCCTCACTGCTACTTAATTTGAATGCTGATTAATTAGAAAGCTCTGGATGAAAAAGCATCAGCAATTTCCTGCAGATGCATTTATACTGTTGTTTTTTTATTATTTTAATACCACTACCGAACAACCAACCACCATAACCATCGACGAGGAATGTAATGCAAGTACCTTCATCCATAAGCCTGTGAATGTGATACTCGTCGTTCGTTCGTTTTTTAGCAGCTACACAATTTAGCTGGTGGCTGCTGTTGCACCTGTACCTTGGTCTTCTGAGAATAAAAAACAACGCTGCTTGGTCATACATTCACCAGCTCGTAGCGTCAGGAGGAAATAAAATAAGTAGCTGCCATTACTCCATCCATTCCACAACGCCACCGTCTCAAGTTCTCAAGTTCTCAAAGGAATATCACAAACAAATTAAATAATACGATGCTTTTTGGACTCTTCGTTCGTTCGTACTTGAAGCCATTGCATTTTGTTCCTAATAATGCTTCTCCGTCTTTTGGCTGGCCTGGCTTGGCTGCATTCTCTCCATTTCACACTAGCGTATAGCCCGGCCAAGGCCGGGTTCTAGAGTTCCAGTGGGGGGTGTGCCCAAAGCGAAAAATCCGTCATACTATATTTTAAATAATTCCCAGTGGAGACTTTGTCATACTACATACATACATCAGACTGAGGGTTTGCCCAAGTCATACTGCATTTTAATTAACCTGGTCACAGTAAAATTTGATTCCCCCTGTGGGAGTAGTTGAATAGCTAATTACTTAAATTCCCGTCGCGTGGGAGTAACTGCATAGCTAACTATTTAAATTCCCACGCTTCACGCTCCCGTTAAGTTCCATAAACCCCGTTAACTTCTACAATTAACGCCAAGCTATTGACGGATTCGGATTCAGCGTCAAAAATACATTCGAATTGATATGCGACATCACGAATAAGCCAGATTTGGACACCACGGTCACGGCGAGGTCACGGGGGCCTCGCAGGTCAAAACCATTGACGGCGTTGGATTCAGCGTCAAAAATACATTCGAATTGACATGCCACTCGCTGTGGGTAGAGTTTCTCAAACTAAAATAATTAATTAATAGTGTTTATCACGATCACTTATCATGATAACCACTATTGATGAGTGATGTATGTATGTGGGGTGTACATGTTCATGTATTCATTTATTCATGCAGTGCAGTGCAGTGCATGCATGCAGTGGTTGCTCCGCTTCCTTCTTTGTCTACTGTATGGGGCAATTTGCATTGCGAAGACGGACCCAGGGACCCAGGGATCATACTAACACTTTATTAGAGTAGATTGTCCCATGCAAATAGAAGCACAGGAGAGCAAATGCAAAACAAAGCGAGTGAGTGTTCGAATGCAAAAACTACTTGGTACGCTGCAGGTTTGGTTTATGCGTGGCATTTTGTCTGCATCAACAAGTCTTGTATTTCTATTAAATTGTTTACAGGTATTTAGCATGCATGGTAAAGTTTAAATCGTGGAAAATCGCTGCTTAATAAGTTTCTCAGAATTTCGAATTAAAATTTAACGCATAAAACCCTTCTCCTCTCTCTCTCTCTTCCTTTGTTTATAATACGAAGTGTTCTAGCTGTTTGAAAGTTGGTATAAGAGGAGAGGAGTGCGTTTCTTTTTCCTTTTTCATCCCTATTTTTATTGGCAAGTGACTATGAGGCTACTAAACTAGTCTGAGCATCTCTAGCCAGCGGTGTAGCCTGTTAAATAGAAAATTCTCTTTTAGGTGAGATCAAGTGGGTATAGAGGAGAGCTGCAATTTTAAACGGGGTCTTGGGCGATGCAGCGTGGCGAATTGTGCGTAGCAATCTCGCCATTGTTACTTGTACACATTTTGATTTTGCTTTGTTCCTTCCAAACAACTTGTTGTTTGTTGTATAGTATACTTGATGCGAATTAAGGGAGACACGACACACAGGGCAGTGCAGCAGTTACCATCATCACATCAGATGCTATGGGGGTCATGTCTTCCCTGATGTCGACGACGAACTGCTGATCTCGTCGGAGTTGGTCGTTGAGGTACATGCACGCCATGACGGCGGACCGGATGACCAATTCGTACTTGATGGTAAATTCAACGGGTCATTTCTACCTTATCTGGGGTTATCTTAAGAGGTGGGGCGAATGACGGGAAAATGGACGACCCCCCCTCGTCGTGGCCCTGCCTCTGCCAGTTGTTGCCTACCTCTACCTCATTTGTTGTGGTGAACTACGTTCTTGTCTGCTTGGTGGTGGCCATGGTGGTGGTGCTGGGCTGATCTCCAATTTTCCAGATTTCGCATTTTCCTCGTCATTCCAGCCTAGTTCACGACGATAAGCACTCCCCTTGCACTTCTGCTGAGGGTCTGACGACCGCGACCAGCGCCACCAGCAGCGCACACACACCCCCAGGGCGAAGGCCACGTAAGTCCCTCCTCGCAATTTTCCTTTTCCACTTTTTTCGGATCTCAAAGTTCACGACGACATGAAAGATCATAATAAGAGTCGAGTGCGTAGTTCCGTCTCCTTTGTTTGAAAGTGTTAATAGGAGTAATAGCAGCAGGAAAGAAATTTATGGAGTATTAGTCATACATAATTTCGCAATATTTGCTAAGAATTTAGTCCTAAGAGGAGTGGTTACATAGTTGGGAGAAGGGACTTGAAATTGTCTACCCTGGGACTTCTCTGGGTCGGGTCATTCACTTTGTCAGCCCTTTTTGTAATGATTTGGTGCCTTAGATATATAACTATTTTCTATTTTAATGGTGAATGGGCTGGCTGGCTGACTGCTGCTGTTGTTTGGTGACTGGAAAAATTTACAGTCAGTCAATTTCCTTGTGTTCTTCTGGTTCATTCCATTGGTTGCTTGGTTATGGGTGATATAAGTGACTAACTAACTAACTAACTAGCAAGCAAGAAGAAGAAAACGTAAGCAGAGTGAAAGGTCATATCTTGATTCCAAAGAAAAAGTTGCACTCCTTTAATCTCCTCACCTTCAAATTTCTCTATCGTGCTATCCTGATAATTTGTCACATACTTAGTTGTTCAAAATTGATCATATTGTGAATATAATTGACCCACCTTGTGTCAGGCTATCTGCTAATTATATATTAATATACAAGAGTTAGTTGTAAAGTATCCATGTAAAACTAACGAATTTTTTTCACGTATCATCGTAGTGTATCATTACTTCGATTTAATCTAAATTTAATTATAAAATTTCAGTAAAGACTCGAAGGGACGCACAGTGGAGGTTGATTGCTTCTTACTTGACAAAAGATTGTTTCATCAGGATCGGACTAAGTTTGGAAATTTGTGATTTTTCTTGATTGCAAACGCTCGCACCACCACCTCATCTATTCTAGCAACCAATAAGTGAATTTCCGTAGGGAATTTGGAATTGACTTCGTGTTTTAGTGGGTAAGAAAAGGAAAAAAAGAAAATACTGTATGCTGGTTGGCGCAGATTTACTTATTGTATTTTTGAATATATAGCATCACCATTTTACAAACGACAGCACGATGGAAGGTGAATCAAATGGAATGGAAGGTCAGAATCAACGTCAATGCCAAGCAGGGTGTGGTTTCTTTGGAAATGCAGCCACAGACGGACTCTGCTCCGTGTGCTATAAGGAAGTCGTCAAGAAGAAGCAACAGCCTCCCACTGGCAGCTTGAAAGTCCCGTCCCCTCGTGCCACAACCTCCTCCATCGAGTCTCTTTCGCCTCTCTCATTCCTTCAGCAAGCGCAAAAACTGGTAATTATTAAAGTAATATTTAATACTTAAACAGCTTTAACAAAGACTCTTTCTTTTGTAGAACGATGAAAAGGCACCGACTGATGAAGCAAAACCGTCTTCTGTCGCCGAAGAGGACACTGCACAAATTGTTTCGTCTCCTGAGTCAGCTTCGACTTCGCCAAGTGCAGAGTCCAAGAAAAAATCGAATCGTTGCTTGTCTTGTCGCAAGAAAGTCGGCCTTACTGGTAATAAAATATGTACATAATTACATAATAATTGGATTACACGGAGTTAAGTGGAAAAGTCGAAAAAAAAGTTGTGTTTTATTTTGTCAATATTTCGAATGCTATCTGCCATTCATTATCAAGACATTTACAAGAAGATCATTACATAACATAATTACACATTACATTTGTCGATATGAAACTACTGGATTATACCCCTACTGGATAATAATTCTCTTGTGATTCTCTTTTAGGTTTCGAATGTCGTTGTGGAGGCCTCTTTTGTTCTACTCATCGCTACAGCGACAAGCACAATTGCAGTTTTGACTATCGTCAGTTGGGGGCTGATGAAATTCGCAAGAACAATCCCGTCGTCGTGAGCGAGAAAATTAACAAAATTTAATGTCACCATTACATACTCCACTATATCTCACCTCACCACCTCCACCTTCATTAAGTTTCTTTTACAAATACAAAAAACTTTCATCATTAAGTAGAACTAATACTAAAGAAGCTTAGAAAATGAATGAAAATGTCCAAACGTCTATAATATCCTAGTTTTCTCGTAACGCTAAGTGTACAGTAATTGTATTCATTTGTGAAAAATTGTAAGTATAATAAGCTAAACTTGTGTATAAATGGTACGAATAAATAAATGTTTTTTTTGGCAAATCGAGAACGGCCACTAACTACGAACGTACATATAGGGAATGATAAACCCTCAGGTTTTCTTTCAGTGTGACTATGTTTGAAACTCACAGTATATATATCTATATGCAATAAATAAGTAAACATACTTAAACAGCTTCACTCGATATACTTTTCAGTGTTCCTTTATTAAATCATCATCCATAATTCTAGTTTAAGACAGTTTTGTAGCACTCTATAGTTGCTTGGTTAGCTAGCCATGCACCATATAATTTTCTAGTTATTCAATTAATTAATTCGTGTGATTTTTGCCTAGTTAATCGTCTTCCTCACTATCTCCTTCTGCTGAAGCAACCCTGCTGGTCGCTTCCTCCTCAATTTTTGCAGAAGGGGACGACTCTCTTCGAGCACTCAAGGGTTCGTCAATGCTGACCACGGCGGCCAGCCCTCCTTCATCGTCCTCGTCGTCATCTCCACTACCATTTCCACCACCTTCCACCTCGTCTTCCTCCTCTTTCCAAATATCTTCGTCCGAATGACGTACTCTCCCAGCAGTTGATGCAGACTTTGCCTTCTCCTCAGCGTCCAGGAGCTGTTGCTGATGGTAATGCTGCTTTCTCTCCAAAACAGCAATTTTCTGTTTGATAACGGGTATTTCAGTGTCAAGATAGTTCATGTAGTCCTTGTAGTATTTCCGGTCTGTCATGGTGGTGGACAGGCCTGGGGGTTGTTGTAGGTCGTCAAATGGTTGTTGATCAACGTCAGCCAATGTGTCCTCAGAGGAAGAATCTTTCCACCGAGCTAGTTTCCATTTCGGAAGTTCTTGCCGCTTATCAGTTTCCTCGTCTTCGAACTGTAATTTGCGGTACTGGAAGAGATGTTACATTACAAGATTAAAATTAATAGTATTTATGTGATAAAAAACATATATAATCAATAAATACGTATTCACCTCCATGACTTTAATAGCACTCTTTTTGAGCGACTCAACTTTCTCAGTTTGTTGTAACAACCGTTTCTGTAAAACTTGATAGTTTGCCATTCGATCGAGAATTGACGGATCAGTGACCAATTTTGCAAAGGGAAGTTTTTTGGGAACGTTTAACGCCATGGATTTCATCAAGTCCTCAAGTCTGTTGCGGTCACCTTCCAGTTTTACCATGCCTTTCTCTGCCCATAAAACTTGCTTCTCCATCCCGTCGAATTTTTTGAGCTGGAATCGCAATTTATTCTGCTTTCCACCAAGTTCGTTAAGCTTCATTTCTAAATTTCGCTTTTGTTTTTCGAGTTCCCATATTTTCTTTTTGTAGCTTCGAATCTCATTGTAACTATCGCGAGAAGCTTGATTTTTACTTTTTGATGTGGACATTTCACCATTATCACGCCATTTAGTGCTACCTCGGGATTCGTCTAACAATTGCTTTACGTGAGGATGTGCTTTCCATACTCTTTTGGACAACTTTTGCTTCACAATCTCATTTCTGCACATTAAAAGGTGGACAGACCGTGCTTGACCTTTGGCCTTCTCAAGCTCTATTTCCGTTCGTCTTTTCTCCGTGTCCAACGATTTCATGTGACTTTCATTAAAATTTAGTTTTTCTCGTAAAACAGCGAGCTGACATCGAAGCTGGCTGTTTTCGCGATGGAGATCCTTGATTTCTAAAAATTTTCAAGAGGTTTTTCATAATTTTAAAGCTTGTCATAAATTTCCGGTTGCCTAAAATAAATGAAAATAGTCATGCGGAAGAAATATTTTGGCTTTTTTATTTCAAAGGGGAAATTGAGAACGTTGGAATATTGTGTTATTATAAGTATTGTATACCGATACCGACATGTAGAAAAAAACAGGCCAGTTTATTGCTTCAATAACATGTCACTTATGTGTATTGATCCAGTTTCCAGAAATATAATCTTAAGCAGACATTTACTTAACATCAATGTCACATCCACAGGGATATCATGAATCAACAAATTAAAAAGTCATGGCCCATATTGATGAAGAGATGCATGCACATATCTATTATCCAACCCTGTATTATCTCATTGTCAATCCCTCATATTGCTGTTATGATACTGGTGTCTGGTTGTGTTTTAAATATAAAAGATTTTTTTTGCGTAATTGCGTAAAATTCTCCACATTATAAATACTCATAATAGGTCAGAAATTCGCACGTGAAGTACACATAGTATTTACGTAGTTCAGTCATGGATATATGCAAATTACTTACGCAATGAGGCCGTCTGGTTAACGTTTTCTTTGAATTGAAACTCTTCTTTCCAATGCATGACTTGTCTTTCCAAATGTTCCATCGTCTCTTTTGACACCTTTTGACCATGATGCATCTCTTGCATTCGTTTCTGTTGAATCCCAAGTTTTCGAAGCGTTTCCTCCTGTTCTTTCCGTTTCTGCTTCATGTGCTCCAGCATTAAGTTTATATCTGTCCTCTGTTTGAGGAGGGTGTACTCTCTTGTTTTGCACCCTTGAAGGAGTTCCCCAACATCTTGGACCAGCTTGAGATTCACTTCTGCCTGAATTCGACGTTCCTGGTCGATTTCGGTGAGATTCTTTATCAAGTTGTACTTGTTTTGGGCAAGTTGGGCATTTTCGTCTTCGACACGGCGTCGCTCACCTTCTTTGATGGAAACATCGTTGAATAAGTATTTCTTGTCTCGCTCTAATTTGATTAACTGATGTTTCAATGATACCAACTCCTTTTCACGTTGTATTCTTTCAAATCGTTCGGATTCCAGGGATTTGAGTACTTTTTGTCTCAACTCTTCGGTGTTGGTCAGACTTTGGCCGAGTATTGTTGTCTTTTTAAAAATAATTGATCAAGGGGGTTGTTAAACATTTGAAAATTATGACATACTTAAAGAAAAAATAATAATGCTAACCTTGTACGATTTCAGGGAAAGTTCATCCTGAAGATGAGTTTTTGTTGCAGCAAGTTTTTCTAATTTGTTACTTTTCTCGTCCAACTCACCCTTCAACCTTGTGATTTGATCATCTTTTTTAATGAGTCGTCGCTTATTGACTCTATTGTCCAGCAGTGCTCTTTCCAATTTGACAATGTGCTGATCATACTGAGATTCGATGGCTTCCAATTTGTTCATCCAAAACTCTTCCAAAGGGTTGTGCTCCTTCTTCTTTCCAATAACGAGGTAGGGTTGGTGGAGGTTGTCAATTGTTTGACTTATTGCCTCCTCAACTTCGTCCTTTGAAGCCATTTTGTAAAACGAAATATCTTAATTTTAAAAGAATGATGGTATTACAAATTAGATTAAATTATAAACTAAAGTAGTGTCGAGTGCAATGTGGTTCTGTATCAAAATCGTCATATCGATCAAACACATATTCTTCCAAGATGCATACTCATCATGAAAAATAGAATGAAATAAAATACTGGACTACGTTGTAATAATAACGACAAAATGTAATTGTAATTTTTAATTTATTATCTCTCAATGCATATTGATAACAGATGGGAAGTTAGCAATTTTTTTTATTAACTTTTGTTAATTATTGGTCATATTGAATATGTAAATTTTTATATCACATATAAGAAGGAATGTGTAAATAATTCCATGTGGAAATTAAAGCAAATGACAATGTTTTTGTTTACTAATATACCATCATGATTGACATGTTTATGATAATTCTGATCACTTTTTTATATATCTTAATTCAGATGTTGCAGTGGTTATATAGCTCATAACATGGATCTTACGCAGCAAGAATTTGATTCACAGCCTTGACAATGGCCTTTGAATCAATTTCAAATTTCTCCAAAAGGACGGCTGAAGGTCCTGAGCGTGGAACGCTTCTAACTGCCAACTTTTTGACAATGATGTTCTTTTCTTCAGACACAAGGCTGCAAACAGCATCACCGAGTCCTCCTAAAAATTCAAGGGATGATAATGTTTAATACGGACAGACATTCTTCTGAGTATTATACTCCAGACACACATATATACATGCAATAAATGTAAATAAGCATACAATAAAAAATTAACGAACCTTCAGGATAATGATCTTCAACAGTAACAATTTTGCCACCCACGGCCTTGGCGTGTTGAATAATTTCGGGGTCCAAAGGCTTAATGGTAAAGGGATCAACAACTCGTGCATGAATGCCAGATTTTTCGAGTTCATCCGCAGCCTTGAGAGCCTCGTGAAGAGTCACACCAGCACCGATGATTAGAACCTTGTCTGCAGGATTGGTTCGAACAACCTTGGATTTTCCAATCGCAAAAGGCTCGTCATTTTTGTACAAGACTGCAGTGTTTGGCCGAGAGCTTCGGATGAAGCAAATTCCCTTAGTGTTGGCGCATAGCTCGACAGCATATTCAGTACTAACAGCGTCGGATGGGTAGAACACGGTAGCAGTGGGGATAGTTCTGAACATTGCCAAGTCTTCCAATGCCATTTGAGATGGACCATCCTCACCAATGCTGATTCCAGCGTGAGAACCACAACAGTTAAGATTAGTTTGTGAAATTGCTCCCATTCGAATCTATGATACAAAACAAAAACATAAAAGATGAGGAAACTTAGTGAAATAAAATTTACAATTTATAATTGGATTGCAAAATTAGGCTATAAAATATTCACCTGGTCGAATGCTCTTGTAAAGAAGCAAGCAAACGTGGAAGCAAAAGTTATGGTACGATCACGGCAGGCAGCACCAATGGCGACTCCGACAAGATTTTGCTCGGCGATGTAACATTCAATGTATTGCTTAGGAGTATTCTATCAAATTAACAGTAAATTTTAATGCATTTACATTACCTACATGTCAATTAGCCATCATAATTAAATTTCTCAGTCACATACGAACCTTGAGTACTTTATCCGAGAATGTTGAATTTTTTGTGTCACCGTCCAAAGCAATGACGCGATCATTTGCAGCAGCCAACTTCTGCAGAGCGTTACCATAAGCAAGTCGAGTGGCAACGAGTTCTCCCATCTGTAACACACGTGCCACATTGAATGAATAACATAAATCTTGGTTGGGGTTAACGCAGATAACTCAGGATTTGGAAAATAACCTTGTAATTTGGTGGTTGAGAGAGCTTGACCCCAGCAGCAAAATTGGTTGGGGGAACTTCCACAACAGGCTTTGATGGAATCAACTGGATAGCACCATTGTTCTTAATTAGTCCTTTGAGATACTGCAAAATCAAATCAAATATTTATAAAATATATCTAATAATTTATATAGCAATTATATAATAAATTGCAATTTAAAAGTACACAATTAATTGAATTAATTATTTTAATACAATACCTCAAGGACAGCCGGCGAATCATCTCCAAGTGGCTTCCCATGCCAGTTGTCTTGATCTTCGATATTTGGGAAGTTCTTTCCCTTGAATGTCTTGGCAATGATGGCTGTTGGCCGACCCTTAGTTTCGCTGGCTTCATGGAAAGCCTGCACAGTTGAAAAATAAAAGTTATTTGAGGCCATTTCATTAACGCTTCAGGTCTATTATATTTCGATGTAATTAATATCATAATAAATAAACCAGTAGCTTATTAAGCTTGCCTTGCACAACTCTTCCACATCGTGGCCGTCAACCACCAAGGCGTTGAACCCAAAAGCCTCCAACCTTTTTCGATACGTGTCCATGTCATGCTGGAGAGCAGTAGGTTCGGATTGACCAAGCCTGTTCACATCCAAAATAGCGACAAGATTGTCCAACTTGTATTTACTGGCGAAATGCATGGCCTCCCACAAAGACCCTTCCGCAGCTTCACCATCACCCATGAGACAATACACTCTGCATAGAAATAGTACACACATTTATTTCAAATTAAATGAAAACTGAAAAAGTTAATTAATTGCTCATCAACTCACTTGTACGGAGCATTGTCAATGTACTTTCCCACATAGGCCATGCCTGCAGCAACGCTGAGACCCTGTCCCAACGAACCGGTAGCAACATCGACAAAGTTCAATCTAGGCGTGGGGTGACCTTCCAAATCGCTGTCAATTTTTCGCAAATTGTTCAAGTCGGTTACTGGGAAGAGACCGGCTTCGGCCCATGCTGCAGATCAATAATGTAAACCCAATGTAAAAATTAATCAATCAATTAATCAGGATCATAATAAAAATTTAAATACCGGCATATAAAATCGGAGCGGCGTGACCCTTGGACAGAATGAAGCGATCGTTGGAAGGGTCCTTCGGGGTCTGGACTTTGTACCTCATCGTATGGAAGAACAGCACCGACATTATCTCCGCCATGGAGGAGCATGATGTTGGATGCCTATATCATCGTTAGTAATTAATTAATACATAAAATACGCCTCCTCCTAATATTCTCCTTTCACAAAACAAAAAAAAGTTCCTCACCCAGACTTGGTAACATTTGTGGACGTGATAGAGTCCACTCGAAGCTTGTTGGCAATATCTCGGAGCTCTTGAACCACTTTGGATTCGGGTTTATGGTAACTGGCCATTTTAGCTTATTGTCAAAGTTGAAGGCGCAAAAGATAAGTAGTCTCCGAGTGGTAGTGCTTCTTCTTCTGCTGTTGTTGCCGGCCGGACAGGAACTGAGGAGCTGGAAATGCAGTCAAAGAAGAAGAACACGGCGTGGTGGTGGTGAAGATGGTGGAAGAAGAAAGAACAGGCGGGGGGGTTTGGTCAATGTGGGGAAGAGTAGGATTGCTTATTAGATAGCAAATACACGACTGCACTATCTGCTCTACTCGCCTGGACAAGAAATGCATGCAAAAACCTGTGCGAAAAACATGACGAGATAAAATTGTAGAGGAATTTACATCAGCACAGAACTCAAACTCACTATCAGCAAAGCATCATCACACCACTCGCTCTCTACTCACTCCACGAGATATTTCACTCCATCCACACGATTACACAGATTAAGAACGATACTTGTATTATGTTGGGCCATGATCTCAACACTTGCAATTGTCGTGATTGCAAGGCATTTTATTTTTATTGGCAAATGTGCATACGTGTATCGAGTGGATAGTTGCATATTTGTGATGGACCAACCATATCCCTTGAAGGGTTCGTTACTGAACATTGGGCATATAAAAGTGGAAAATGTGCATACCAAAATGCGAATGAACATGATTTTCTGTACAGACTAGAAAATCATGCGATCTGACTGAGAAAAGTTTTTGAGCTTCAGTGATCTCGACGATTTTGATGCCTTCCGATTCCTCTGGTTATGGTAGTAGTATGGGATGATTGATTTTCATTTGTAAGGGTGCCAAGAAATTCTACATCACTTAACGATTAATGATCCATAAAAGTTTACTTAATATATATAAATGAAGACATTTGAACATGCCGTTATAATCGCGTTCGAAATACAGTTTGAAATACCAATTGAAATCCATTCCCATGATATTACAGAAATATAATTTGCCATGGAATGTAGATATGTGATCAATAATTTATGCATTAAATGGTTTAAGTAAATTGATTGGGTTAGTATTTCACTCATTTCTCAAGCCCCCTTAGGAATAATTGGAAAAATCGGCCGTGACGGGTCGTTGCGGAGGACGGTCTCACCCCGCTGGGCATCATTTTTAGTCAGATCTTACAGTTAAATTTACGTAAATAGTTCAACGTGGTTGAATAAATTCTATGAAATCTTGATTCGTGCTGAATAGATCTACGGAAAATTATACTATGGCAATAAATGAGCTCAATTTAGATATGCCTACATACATACATACACACATACATATGTCCATACTATACATACGCCAATAACTAAGATTGCCTTTACTCCTGCATCCCAACGAACTGCCGATGATAGTAAATGAGATGACAGTAAGATATAATATAATACGTCTCGAAGGTAGTAGTTGTGCAACAATAGTTTGGTTAGTTCTGTATGTATGTGAGGCAAATCAGTGTGTCGATAAATTGTAGCAAAATCTCTGACAATCAGAATGTTGGAAATTACGAACAGGAAGCCGAGTTGCACTTGAATTATTCAACCTTCTTCTACTTTTGTACAGTGCTGCTTGAATATCGTGAACAGTAAATCCGCATTTTATTCTTACCGTGGCGTGACATTGGCTGACCACCGTAACATGAACATAAATGAAGTTTAAAGCAGAGCTGCATCGTGGACTGTGACAGGCCAAATGTGATCATGTTATGCCACACTTTACTATTACTACTTTACTACTACTACATACGAACGCAAAAAATCACTCACTCAAGGAAAAGTGCACATCTTTTATTCAGTTGTCAAAGTTGTCAAGCTCAACTCGGTTTCATTTCAGCGTTGCAAGTCCAAGAGTCAGAGCGTTAAATTGGTGCAAGCAATTTTTTTCTTCTTCTTATGCATCCTTCTCCATTTGTGGTATCGGAAATATCAGTCGAATAATAATAAGTGTATCGTTTCGTCTCTTCTTCCCGAGTTCGGCTGCCTTGGACAATAATGTGAGGAATTTCATACCCCTCACTCCTCCTCCATCTCCTCTCGGGTTCAATAAACATTGTTTCTCTCCCACGTCATAACGGCATCATTTGCAATTAGGGAGGCGAGGGTTAATCATCGATTCGAATCTATCAGGAAAATCAACTTGTTGGCCAGTTCTCAGTTCTAGTCTGGTCCTTTTTCCCTTCTGAAGTGTGTCGTGAAGTGAAATGCCTGACCTTTCAGCGAAATGTTTGAGTGCAAAGTTTTACCGTGCTGGACAACGAAAACTAGGAATTGGACAAGTTCCTTTGATTTGGGTGAGTGTGTGGTTTGTTGACAAATTTTCATGGCCTGCATTTTAAACCTGAGCAGTATAAATTCATCCTTTAAGGTCACATTGCTAGCAGCGTTTGTGACTTGTATCAGCATAAATCATGGAGAGCCACCCCTGCTGAAGGAGTTGCATGCTGAATGTACTCGAGAAGGTATCAGTGTCAAACTCTGGTTTAAAGTGCCATTCACTGGCATCGCTTACTCGAATGGTACTTGAGATTCTTGTCTCGTAGGTTTTTAAAGGGTTGTTTGGTCTGATTTGGTGTATGTTTTCCTACAATTTTACTTATCTAATTTCTAGGTCATTACGAAACAAGCAAGTGTAGATACATATCTCACAGGGATGATGATGATGGTCCAACTAAAGGCATGGAGCCTAGTGGAACAAATTTCAGGTGGTTGGTTACGCTTAAGACACATATTATGTTAATAGTTACCCTAAATAGGGTAGCTCCTGTACAAAAGTAGTGCCAACGCGTATCTACATACATATTTAAGTATAGTATTATGCATAAGTGCGTTGAATTCGAATGAGACAAAGGAATTGTCACACACTCTGATTAGCCACAATTTATTACATTATGACGAGTCATCCTCCCTCAAAACGAAGGAGACACAATCCAATTCTCATGCATGTAAACTAATTCTTGAGTGTGTGACACAGTGACTCGTCGTTGGTTTGCTGTTGGTGATATAAATAATAAAAAGGTCCAATTTCCAATCCTCTCTTGCAGTTTTCTGATTCCAATGAACGAATGTGGCACAGTTTACTATGAAGGAGCACCTTCTGTGAAACAGCAGAAGAGGAACGACACGCGAACAACAGATAAAAGCAACGGTAACCATTATACGATTTTGGAAATGTAGTTAATTATTTTCCCACGATGCTCTACAAATTTGGGACTGCTTTTTCAATGCACATACGAGCACATACACAACACACCTCTAAATACCCGTACTTGTTTGTGATTGTCACATTGGAGTAGCTAGTGCGTAGGTGTCGAGGACAAATGCGATCTCAAATGATGTTTCACATTTCCAGACAATGAAGTTTACATTGAAAACACGCTCCTCATCCAAACCGATCCAACGATTCAAGAGGCGACCGATTTGGCAAAGACGTTGCGTTGCGTTTGGCAAAAGGAAATTCGTCAACCATTGATGGCTGCGTTACCCTTTGGGAACATTGGGAAAATTGTGAGAATCTAGATTACTTATGTCATGCATGAGAAAGCGTATATGAGAAATTGGCTTGTACTTATTTCCACTAATTTTATATGACAAGATTCACCGAGACGCGCAGAGGGTCAAAACCATAACTGCAACAAGGCACACTCTTCAACATGATCATCAAACAAATACCAGCAACAAAAACGTGCCCATTTTAAATTTGAGATTTCAGAAGAAAGGTCAAGTGCAAAGTGTTCCTTTTAACGAGAGACGACACAACTCTAGAGCATTGGAATTAGATGACGAGTTTGACACTGATCCTGAGTTGGACCCTGTAACTACATATTTTTCAAACAAAAGTGATCTCATTTCACCGTTGGCTTTACAGAGACAGCAAAATTATATTTCATCTTCTGCAACTCCAGTTAATACACCTCCTATTTTAAAGTGGACTTTTTTGGTAGTTATGCGATTTATGGTTTTGCTCCAATGTTTTGTCATATGAGTAAAATTCTAGGAAATAAGAACATGTTTTTTTACTACACACCATAGAATTTCATATCACTTTATTGAAAACAAAACAACTCTTACAAGTACAGATACCACAATACATATACCGTACTAACAACACACCGAATTGAAACACAGTTTTTCACATCAAGTTTGTATGAAGGCTTTATATTCAAGTTTCCAATTTTTTGTGAAGATTCATGATTTTTGATTACTGGTGTTTCATATTTCAAATTGGTTGGTCATATTTGTAAAGAAGTTGTAATTGTTTGTTTAAAAATCATTTCACCTCACAAATAATTTTAATTTAAAATATTTGATACATTTCAATCGACATATTCACAGTCAGTGTGTGGTGAATTTCTAAAAAATTCCTAGCAAATTGAGCTTTAGATTATGTATCTTGAAATTGAAAGTCGTAGTTCTGATGATATCTACATACATACTGGACATTTTGGCCTATTCTAATTCATAAGTATTTGTCAATGTCGTGTTTTTGGACGTTGCTAGTACACTAAAATTCATATACAACATTAACTACAATAATAATTCGCATGTTGTAGGACTCGTGCAATTCATCAATTAATTAGTTAAACGTAGAATGAATAGTTGTTGATTCAAACGTCCGATTAAATTAAATGTAGGAAATAATAGCTTGTATAATACGTTGATTTAGACATGTAACCTACCACAAGGTTCACTTACGTAACATATGTATATTTGGGTAGTGTTTATGTTCATCTTATAAAGATGGGTTCAAAGAAAAATTTACAGATTAGTTTAAAATTGAAAATGTTAAAATAACAGAGCCAATGGTGGATGCACCACACAATGATTATAGTCAACATTATAATCAATGGCAATGATGACAAGATATGTAAAATCTTAAAGATTAGACTATCTCAGGAATTGACAAGAAGTTTTTCACTGGAATGCGTAATAGTTTCATCAGATATTACAATTGAATTTGTTTGAAATCCTTATTACCATCATATATAATTTTTAAATATAGAGAGTCGTTGTTCAAATTAAAAATCTTTTTTATGCGTATAATTTTTATGGTGTGTTTCTTTGCTAAAACAGTCATTGGTAACAATTGGTAATTGTAAGACTTCAATCTTCTTTTGCAGTAATTGGTCTTTATATAGTTCGTAAAGGCTTGTATTGTTGGCTAATTTCACACTAAATTATCCAAAGACTAATAACTACTTTAATACTAAGACATAATAATACACTCATTGAATAAATGAATTTTATGAATACAAGCATTGTCATAACTATTTACGACATGGATAGTAGTTAAGACAGGGGACAAGGTTGTTCTGTCATTTCATCAAATCAGATATTTTGCATAATATGCATATATAGATATTCAGTTAACAAGTTTGAGATAGATAATAACAGAATTCAATCTTTTCGACGCACATAATCAAGATCATATGGGGACATTATGTAACAACTGAGCTATGTTAGATATAAACTAGCCAGACCACATTTAGAGAACCTATTATGAGTTACAGATTAAGATCAAGATGTACATTTTTTTGAAATTTTCAAAACGATTTAGCAAGAACTTGACAATTAGATACATTCAACATACACATTTAAGGTACACACTAACAATCTAAGAACAACTTAGTTTTAGTTCTAATTAACAGTAAATTGAGATTTATAATCCATGGCCGCAAAAAGTTATATCCTTTCCTCCAACTACTGTGATGGATGCATTACAAATTAATTCAAATTATAATCAAATTAACTTACTAGGAATTTAAAACACAATGTAAAGTGAATGACATGGATGAAAATTTGGCCAATTTTATGCAGTACAATGCTACAACATTGACATGGAAGAGCTAGTCTGAATGTCATGATATCATCAATAGCGATAGTAGTTTGGCTGTAAAGAAAAACAAAGTTTTAATAAGATTATAGACTAAAAATAGTTTGTTAATCACAGATTCATACCTTGAACGGCCCAGCCTTGTTGAGACCCAGATACTTGGCTTGATCCTCACTCAATTCTGTCAAATGCGCATCAAATGTTGGCAAGTGTAGACTCGCCACGTACTCATCTATTTTATGCATGATACATTATTTTAAAATATTTCTAAATTCTGATTATTTTGCTGAGCATATATATATAGCAGCTACTCTGAAATGAAAGTGAAGCCATACCCATTTTCTTTGGAAGAAGATAAACATCGGACTTGTATCTTCCAGGTGGAGCGTTGAACAGCTCAATCAGAGCCAAAGCCTTACCCAATTAATTACAAATCCATTAAAAATTTTCACATGACAAAATGCTAAGTAAAACTTAATCACGCCACACCTGTGTCGCAGCCGTAACAGAGACGACGAATGATGGAATGCTTGAACAAGTGAGATTGATCAAACGCCCTTCGGCGATTAATATGATTCGTTTTCCATCAGGCCAAATGATGTGATCAACTTGAGAGCGAACTTTCTCCCATGTCAACTCTGGCGATCGTAGACTTCCCTGGATTGACATAAAGTACAAATAATTAGATATATTTTATCACTGTACATTTCCGAATTTATTCGCTACTTTCGTGACTTACGACATCAATTTCCGTGTTTGAGTGTCCAATGTTACAGACGATGCAACCAGTTCTCATTTTATCCAAGTGGTCTCGGGTCACTACATTTTTATTCCCCGTTGCAGTCACCACGATATCTACGGTTCTTATCACTTCGTTCAGTTTTACGACACGGAATCCATCCATACTGCAATAAGTTGATTGTTTATTTAAATTTGAACTTAAAATTAGTAGCACTCGAGCAAGATTATAGACAATTAGTTTGTTGTACCAGGCTTGAAGTGCGCAAATTGGGTCGACTTCAGTTACATAGACCACGCATCCAAGTCCTTTCAAGGATTGACAACATCCTTTCCCAACCTCCCCATAACCGCAAATAACCACTTGTTTTCCACCAAACATCACATCAGTTGACCGTTTCAAACTTGAAGACAAAATAATACAGACATCTCACAAACCATTTAGCATAGAAAAAAATGTAGAAAACAAACCTGTCGATGATGGACTCCTTGCAACTGTATAGATTGTCAAATTTAGTTTTCGTTACAGAGTCGTTGACATTCATGGCAGGGACTGTTAGCTTTGAAGCTTTCGAGAGTTGATACAATCGGTGAACCCCAGTCACACTTTCTTCCACGATTCCTACAAATGCAGTTTTATAATGGGCGACTCTCTTAAAACATAAATAAAAATACATCCAGAGAGGCAAATTGGTACCTTTAATCAGCTTAAACATTGCTGGATACTTCTTGAGCATCAGATGGGTAGCATCCCCTCCATCATCTAAAATCATGTTGGGTTGCCAATTTTCCGCATTAACACAGCGATCGATACACCACCAAAAGTCTTCTTCCGTTTCGCCCCTCCAGGCGTATATCGGAAACCCTGCAAAAGTAAAACATAATTCCACTAAAATTTTAAGCCTCTCAAATTTCAGTATGCGATCATATAACAAATTTAGAAAACGTGACGTCTTGATATGTAAACGTTAACATGAAATTTGAACCAACATTGAACACTAACCTGCTTCAGCAAGAGCAGCAGCAACTTCATTCTACGAATAACAAGACCAAATCTGTTAATTTTTCAGAAATAAATTCTAAATAGGGATAACTCTACCTGAGTAGAATAAATGTTGCATGCAGCCCAACGAATTTGTGCACCCAATTCACGCAAGGTTTCGATCAATACCTAGAACCACGGAGGAAAATATTTTATAATTCTGCTTTATCTGTTGACAACAAGGACGTTAAATATTCTTACCGCAGTTTGGGCATTAATATGTGTGCATCCAACAATTTTGGCTCCTTTCAAAGGCTTGTCATCCGAAGCACGTTTTCTCAAGGCAAAAATTCCGGGCATTTCTTCGCATCGAAATGAAAAAAATGACATACAATAGAAATATTTTAATTCGTTTCCTCTCTGGTTTTATTTGGTTCTTGAAACCAAACAAAATCAGAAAATAGAAGGAAAGATTTTAAATGAATTAAATACCTTGCTCCGCAATTTCGATCTCCCTTCTACCGAAACCATGCAAGTCAATATTTCGAACACAAAAATCATTTGAATTTTTGCTGTTCTTTTGCTGCTTGTCCCGTGGACTAATGTCTTCTTCATCGGAACTGCTCCCAGTGTAAGAGGCTATACATGAAAATGTTTTATTAGATTTCGTATCATGTGTCGTGATTTCATATCATGGACTTTAAAAGGGAGAGGACTACATATCTGAAAGACTGGGTCAATATTGGGGATGGCAGCATAGAAAATTGGTGATTATACGACTTGGACCAATATCTTTCGGGTTCGTGAACTAAATACACAAACTCTACTTTGATTTCGCCCGACAATATAGTGTACACATCCATACATTCTTGTTACAAAATTCCTGGTAACATTTATTGACACAAATTTGAAAGACATGAAACAGACAACTTCTGTCATCTCGAAGTATAAACTTGTACAGAGATCCATATGCCCGTTTTTGAGCCAGTTTTGAACCAGTTTGTGAGCACCTTATACGTAATACTACAAAAAAATTCAAGCCATAAGAAAAGCCAAATTTCCTACTAAAATGTACATCACGACGTGAAGAAAAGGGAGAGACACGAACTTTTAAGTTTTTTTCAGAGTGTGCATTTGTATGTACACATACAAGGGAATGAAAAACGTAATTCAAAACAGTAAAGTGTTGAATGTAAAATCTCGACAGAAATTTTGGTGAAGCAACATCCGCTCATGCCTCGTAATAAATCTAGGTTTGTCTTAATAAAAAGATTGAGTATGGGAACACTCTGAACAAAGAAGATATGGCTTCTTTTTCCCGTCAGTAAACGACTTCTATTCTTGCACACAAATGGAATGCTAATATTCCATCTCATTTTTTAGGATCCGTCTATATTATTCTTGACTTTCCTCGAGAGGAGGAATAAAACAAAGTGAAAATATTATGTACATATGACTGGTAAATAATTTTTGCCTTTAAACCCCACACAAGGATTTATATCTGAAAATTTAGACACGTCTCTACAGAACAAAAACCGCATAATTTTACCATTATAAAACTACGATAAAAGAACAATAATAACTCTGAAAGTTTTGAGATGGATGCGAGTAGAAGTGTGCAGACTCACATGTACATACACATGTAAATAATGTAGGCAGTAAATATCCTACTAAAAGTTTTAATTAAAGCAAAAACTTAAGCAAGAAAGGACGACAACTTTGTTCCAACTCAATGTAAATCAATAATGAAATTTCAATGTGTCACTTTTGGCTGACTCACATCACCAGCACCCAGACAGAAATTGTGTAACAATATCGAATAAAGCCCACTCATTAATCGCGTTACGACGACTAAAGTAAATAAGTAACTCGAAAACCAGATTTTTCACAAGACTACGTATATAAGTAGACAGATGCTTTAAAAGTCTGAGGGCTATAAGTTGACTTATTTCCCAATTTCTTGAAGCCCTCAACTTCTACTAATTGCAAATATTCTAACAATTAATTACATTTATCCACCAGTAATAACCGTCAAAAGATTTGCTCAATTTATTTTGTAAAAGATTGCAAATGACAAAGTCATGCTGTTTCTATTTCATATTAAAGTATAAGATATTCTTACACGAAGTGGAGCAAATTGATGCCACAGATGATCGACGTGAATCTTGATGTTGCGATTTTTTAGCAGCTGCATCCAAATACCGGCAAGACGCTGGTAAACTCATACGTCGACGGTTCCGATCTTTGAAAGCGGCTCCTCCAGCCAAAAGCCGTTCTGGTACCTGAATTTGGTATCAAAACATGCACACTTGAACACTTGTTACTACAGTTCCGCCCAAATAGACCACCAAACCATACATGGCTTAACGACTACTACACAAAAAGCTCTTTATTACATTAGCAGTGAATGAGTAAATAAACAAAGCACAAAAACATGACTTCTCAGAAAGAAGCATTAAAAAGACTACAGTTTAAAGCCAATACACAAATTCTAGAGCAATTCTCATTCCCAGGCACTGGCAGACAGCATGTCACCACAAGAAAAATGAATCAATGGAAAATGTGTATTCTAAAACACTTCGTTCTCATCATCATCATCAACATATGTATTTAGATGCATAATTTCAGGCAAAATTATAAAAGGTTAGAATGCTAATTAGTGTTCATCCTCAGACTATGCATAAAAACATTGAGTGAGAGCATATTCTCCCAGTTACACCCATTTAATACACTTAAATACACCAATGATTCAATCGCGATATTTTACACACATCAAAAAAATACGACGACATTCCGTTTTACGACCGATTAGGATGCACATGATGTAGTAATACGATAGACATGACATGATTTGATGCGTTGCATAATTACCTCTGGGAGAGCAGAGGAGATACCGCTATTGAAGACCAGGGGACTGGTTCCTAATTTGGAACGGTTTGGAAGCATTTTAATGAACGGTTGTTGAACGGCTGAATTCGGTTAGAAATTTTGAAAAATCCGCAGTCACCACACGCAGAGTAAGAAGATTTGGAGAGTGAAGTTTATTCAGTACCGACCAGAGTTTATAATAGTAGAACCCTCTTCCAAGTCCGGCGAAATGCAGACTTAAAAATCAGATCACGAAACGTTATAACAACTAAGTTTTACGTCCGAGTAACACATATGCAATTACGGAAGTACATTCCAACGTGCACAATCAAAACAGATACGTTTTTGTCGAATCCTCTTTCGCAACAAAGACTCAGTATAGCACTTTGCCAATGATACCAAAATTAAATATTACGTACAAATAATCTTCTTCGTACAACTGAAACCGGATATAGGAAACGTGGTACACACTGAAAATTGCGGTAGGCAGTAGGTTAAGTGAAGACAAAATTTGTTCAAGCTAAATTGACTTCTACTTGGATGATCTTGTCGAAGGAGGATAAACCTCACACCATCGTGCACCACAGGCAATTTCAAGCACACACACACACCTCAGATATAAATCAACCCGTCACTTTCACTGTTTCGCTATTCTATTAAACTTGAAATCATTCCTCTCAATTTATTTCCAACACTTCCGAGAAATGAAAAAAGCACGCAATAGTGTTTTTATATATCCTTTGATAAAACAGATTTACAAAATGATCTCAAATATAAGCACGGCTAAACTCACACTGAAAGTAAAGTGACAGAATTTTATTATATAATATTGGGCTAATGTAAAGTTCTGCGTCCTTGCCAAGCTAGCGTGTCTCTGTTGTTCTTCTTCAGACACAACTAACCACAACCTACGACGCTTAGCAAAGTTTGCCGTCTGTAAACAAACGCAGAATAAGTGTGTGTATGCAATGAAAATGAACAACTTTATACTTGTCACAGGAAGAACGGCACGTTCTAATGATGCGCAATGGATTGTTTTCCGTCTCGTGAAGTAGATTAGAATTACTCAGGCACTCGAATGATTATAAACAATGATCTTCCATTTAGATAAAAACAAGCTAATAAAACAATCACGCAATCTCTACGCAATACTCTTTTCCCTGACTTTTATGCCGTTCCTCACATTAGCTCATTTTATTATGTCATGTATACCTAATAATATTTTGTATTATTGTCAAATCCAATATTTGTCAGTTGAACTTTGGCACCGAGTCATTTGATAACTACACCAATTTACTTGCACTTATCTACTAGTTGTAGGAAACAAGTCCACAATAATTTTCATGGTGTTAACAAATTGCAATTTGTTAGAAACACTATTTCAATTCAAATGTCAAACACTCATTCCAACAAAGTATTTAGATTTGTGATCAGTTCTATTAATATCTCATTGCAGGACACACGACATTGTAGATGTCAATAATAGCAAGTAAATTGTTATGGCCAATCAACTTGTCGACGAGACTGGTATTACACGCTACGCAATTCTATTATAATGAGCACCATAGAGCCGATTTGTGTCGATATAAAATCATGAATGATCTAGAAAATTAGATCCATGCCGTCCTCGACTGTGAGACAGTAAACATGGTGGATCGCTTCTGAGGCGAAGGTGCTCATTGTTATTCTGCTGATTAGTTCTGCTTCTTAAAGTTATTGGCAGTTGTTGTCTGTCATAGTTTACAATCAACTCAAGTAAAGAAATTAATGCACCTTCAAACCGAACAATAATCATAGTATTTCTTATTCCATGAAGTGATTCCTTTTTGACTGGTTCACTTTTTACGCTTCTCCCCTGCACCATACATATCGCATCAGAATCAGCAGAGGTAATCGAGCCGACTTAATGTGGACTACTGTTGACAACTACTGTTAGTTGTGGTATCACCCACTACAGGCGATGATGATGCAACAATCTTACAACTCATGTTGTCCCTTATTGCCAATTACACTATGACCAGAGATAACCTGTCTGTTGGAATCGAAGACCATTCATGATGATAAACAATGACAACTTTATGCAACGTGTGCTAAAATCAATTGCACATGGGTGATAGGATAAGATTCGTTTCCTCTTGCAGACGCCCAAGTTAAAAGGCCTCTTATAAATCTTTCTCACTCTCAAAACATAAAACATATAACTCATCGACTGCAATAATAGGACGAGCTGTCAATGAAGTGGACCTCGCAGCATGCAAATCGTATAAAATAAAATATATATGCATTTCTAAAAAGTAATGCTATTTCTCTTTGTGTATAATTGCTAAATTTTCCACAGGTGTAAAATGGCTATAAAATTAAGTAATAGTCATGTGCACTAGTCTGAAAATAATATTAATGTCAGTGTTTGAATACTTGTAGGCGTGACCTAATGCCAGCCAGCCAGCAATTTGGTACATGACATTTTACTGTCATAATCTGCATAGTGAGGTGAAACGTGCTTATGGGATTAGTGCATCAAGATGCATTTCTGGTTCGCATTAAATCCAAAATTATCCCAGGAATGCAAAATTATACGACACTGCCGTCAACCATAAAATACGACAAGAACAATGAAAAGCGGCCTCTAAATGTTTACGAGGAGCGATATATTAAACAGATGTAATTTGAAGCAAAGTTAAACTCTAATGAATCAACATTATGAGGACAAGGTAGGCAGAACCTGATCCTGTTAATAATAATAATGAAGATCTTTACAAGAGAGATATTAG